ACAGAAGATATTGATTTTTGTTTGGATGTGTATAATTCCTATTTATGGGAAATACAACAATAGGGACCTATTACCTATATTAAACCTATATACATATATATCATTAAAATATGTACCTTATGTTAAAAAAATTAAGTTATTAAATAATTCAGCACATAGTCTCGGCCTGTTGGATACGTTTACATATAACAGCACTATACAACTACTACTTATAACATAATTCGTTATTATTTAATTATTTCAACTTTATTTCACAAATAAGGAATTATATTACGCTACAGCATACTAGTCAAACGATTATAATTAGATAATATTATATTATATACCATTACGATTTTTAATTGTGCAAAAGGATATTATGATTGCTTTAAATACACTCGACTTGACGATAACGGGAAGCGGCAACAGCGAAAAACCAAACGCGGTCCAAGTTTAACAATAATCATTTGAGTGAACATAATATATTTATCATACAATATGAGACGTAAGGCATTAAACATAATATTATATACGATATACCTAATAATTGGTTACGGTTATAGTTTTTCGCGCGTAGACAAAGAGGATAACGACCAGAGACTCCTGCAGTCTTCGCGAGGGTCAGTGGGTATAAATTGAGAAAAAACAATTTTATTTCTCTTTCAATATTTCACATCACTGTTGGAGTGAACAATTGAGCATTTGTATACATATACGATATACCATACAGACTCACACACACACACATATATATAGATTAATTATTATACTTAAATATTTATTTGTGCTTATACGCGAAAAATGCGTTCGATTCCATGATTGTCAAATCGAATTCACATGTGTATAATACCCACACATAGTACCTATGGATACTACATAATACTATATAATATATTATACATATATTATATACTCACGTACTTTGCATTGTGTGAGTGTGTATTATACTGTACGAAAAATACGCATACGCGTTTAGGGTGAGAGAGAAATAGAGAGAGAGATATGACAGTTATTGTTCAATCATTCTGCACACACACATGACGACTACTATAGTTTGTACACGCAGATCGCATATATATATATATATGTATTTAAGAAAGAGACTTGCACGTCCGAAAGGACATCGGACCGTCTGTTGTCGGGTCAAGGACATTATACACCGCTGCTGCCGTTGCCGATGCGGTTTCCAATGGTCGCACATCGCCGACGTCGCCACCAGGACGTTGACTTTACCCCCTGTTCCGCAACCACCACCACCACAGCCACCGCCGTCACACTTAAACTTAAGATACCCTCCCTCCCCCTACCACCACCCGCCATTATTATTATTATAACGATTCTCAATCGCAAACAATAATAATAACATATTTTATTATAGGAACTATACACAGTCCTACACGGTTCGTAATACAATCATATAATATAATAAATTATTAATAATACACCTATAGTGATATAGGTACAATAATATGTATAAAGACTATCGAAACAAAATTGAAATAGTTATTACACTATTGATTTGTTTTCGGGTTCGCGGTTCATGAAGTGTAACGTGTAATTAAGGTACAAAAAAACATTTACAGGTTTTAGCCCCCGTGGACTAGTTAAGTTTGAGTAAGTTGGGTATAAATGTATAATACTTTATAGTGCCTACCTACCACCTACCTACATAATATGTCATAAAGCATACACAAGGATTAGATTTCGGCCGTGCGCTCGTGCCTTACAGTATAATTGAAATTAGTTGCGCACGCCGCTTGGGACACAGTGAGGAGATGCGCTGCAGTCCGGAAACGGCAGCGGAGCGCATCCGCTAAATTCTCGGTCGCTGACACTACCCGCGCACACTATAATACTATGCGTAAGCATCACTTAACCATGATAATATTATAACATAATACAAGATATTCCTCGACCGCATCGTAGTCATCACGTTGCGTGCGGGGTATAATTAATGATTTAATTGTCAGGCATAATAATTATACGTAATTTTATCTCGGAGGTTTCGCCAAAAATGGTACATTTTTGATATCCGAATGTTTGTATCGATCGTTAAAATATCACCAATTCGTTCAGTAAAGGTGTATAGTAAACATTGTTTAACTTGTGTGAGATAAGAGTTTTTCGGAGTGAAGATAGCACAAATAACATGTATTAATATCGATTAGTATTTTGTATAATATTAAAAGTATATCATAATAATTTGGAAAAATTATCATGTTTAATAATTATATCTAATTGAAAATTGTTCATTTACACCTACACATATTTTGAAAGTATCTTTTAAACAGGTAGCATTAATTTTGGTTTATGTTAGTTCGTTGATCCTATTTTAATAATCGTAAACGAAAAGTTCAGCATTTACGTGTGAAGGTGTCAAGATATAGTACGCGCAGCAGGATTATTAAATTTCAATTACACTGGTCTATTGATATAAATACGTATTATATAATATTATATTCATTGATCCCTCTCCAAATGACCAATAAGGTATACTAAAAAATAGGTGTGAGCCGTGAAATGGCATCTTAGTGAAAAGTGGGTCACGTCTAATATGAAAAGTTTGGGAACCACTGATCACAGATTTATATTATTTATTGCATTTATTATAAGAGATTGTAAATACAAATCGTGAACAAAATTGTTTAAATAATTTATGGTTTTCTATACAATGTATTATAGGTATAATATAAATATAATATATAGGTACTTGTATTATATATAACCTATTATAATATGTTGTGAATAAAATATCTGTCTACATTTTAGCGGCCCAAATGATGAATTATTGTTTTTTTTTTTTTTCAATAAATTATTTTTTCTTGTTTATTGCATAAATAGGTGTGTTTCTTGTCACTTGAATATAATAATATTGAATGCAACAATTAAATTACAGTAATTATTTAAACGTAAAAAAATGGTGTGGCATCACAAAACGTGATGCACTCGTTTTGTTCGTTCTCGACAAATGTCATAAGATAACAAACGTATTGCAGTGTTTATTGAAAGACAAATGCAGTTTGTCTAATAAATAATATATGCATACCTACAATATGTCCAGTGTGCGTATCTATATAACCCGTATATTCACCGCTGTTTAGCATAATGGATAACAACGACAATTATTACATTATCTTTCAGTAATCATATTTTATTGCATGGGTATTACGTATTACCATATTATAAAAAAGCGCATCATCATAGAACCATATATTGTTGTTTTATTTCATTCCTTGCAACAAAGTTTTTTTTATCGAGATCTCGATCACATATACACACACTGTAAAACTCAAACACAAGGACATGGGATCATTTTCCACCACAACGCTGCAATTTTATATGTTTAAAATATACAATTTATTTAACGAACCAATTACGTAACGTAGATTTTACGTGAAAGTACGTGTTAAAAATATAAATAAAAATAATCCTGAAAAAATCATTTCAAAACTTGGCTGTTGGATGAAATTCTGCAGATTACAATGTTCTTTATGTAGGTACCTACCTATATTATATGCAAAAAACCAAGACAAATCGAAGTCTAATGAAGATGCGACTCTACCAGGAAATTCTATTCTTTTGTTCAATAAATACATATTATAAACTGTATATATAAATATATAGTTATTCCACAACCCTAGAAATGTAAGAACAATGTATTTTTTACCCATAGGTAAGATTAAAACATATATACGACATACAGGCACAACGTTTAATAAGTTATTTTTTATGGCAAGGTATATTCATAAAGGTTGAATATATCAATTTTCATTTAACGAACATCCAAAATATTATTATTTGATCCGCAATCACGAGCACATGCACATGCGAATGGGTACGTTTTACATAATATTATAATATACTAATTTTATTGAGATTTGTTACACATTAAACCTAATATAATATATAATATAAACTATTATCATTAACACAATATAGGTACAATCTTCAAGTCAGTGGACTTTTAAATGAACCTATGAATTCATATAGAATTTCACGACCGTAAATAACTGAAAACAAAACCGAATATTTAAAGACGTAATGCGTGCACTGTCAACCGTATTATATGTAGTATGTACAGAAACAGACTAGGAATAGTAGAGGTTACTCTCCATAACGATCGTCGCATAGGACAATACAGGGTATAAAGCCCCGAAACAAGCGTTACCCTTTTTTTTTTTCATAATCGTCATGTTATCTCGCGTCAAAACCCGTGGCAGACGGTGGCGATAAGAAATAACCCTCTAACACGCGCGGCCGTTGCACTGTCGTATAATAGAATACAATAGTACATTAAGAATGACATTTCCAGCGACAAGAGATGACTGTGGCGTCAAACCAGTTGGCGTGGGCGACAGTGCAACACAACACACACACATACACATGAGGTGCATATAATATACGTGTTTAATAATGAATAATTAATAGCACATACAATCGTCGTCCGTGTTCGCAATGGATATTTTTTTTATTTTTTTTTTTATACATGTAATATAATATATTTCTTCCCTTCACCTGGTGTTATCGTACAACACGAGAGACGGCCGAGACCCACAACTCACGCGCTCACAGAGGTGTTATTAATAGATCCGGGGCACAAATGAACCACGGAGAGGAACGGAGAAAAACAACGAGAGACTATAATATAAAATTATAATGTCACGGCCGGACGACAAACGGCCATAGGTATTATAATACTACTACTACTACTACTACTACTACTATACTACTACTACTACTACTACTACTAATAATAATAATAATAATGTATATAGAAGAGAATAAACCTGTTTCAGCGCAGGGTATCGACTCGGGCAGAAGGAAAAACGAAAACTTTCCCGCAGGAGACAAAAATAATAATGATACGCGAGGTTTCGCCGCCATTACGTTATCATCCCCGACGGGTATTTGGACAAATATTATTATTTTTTTTATGGAAGTCGAAATTTCCTGCAGACCTATGATTTAGGGTTTACACAGTCATCGTAAGGACATGACTAGTCATGGTACCTAAATAGGATATGATATGCGTGTGTAGTAATCGAGATTCAAATAGCCAACACAACGGCGGATGGCTGCCTTACAATTTCCTGCGGGAAACTGCCGAAGCTGAAGCAATGGGACGTAAAGGTACATGCTATTACGTAATAATATAAGGAGACGACGTCCAAGACAAACCCGTCTATAGCGGCGTGTACTAGAATTTCAATTGGGTTAAACGCCAATACGATTATACCAATTATTACGTCTATAACATTTTGGATTACGTACAAACCTTTCCGAAAACTGAGAATCCGTTAAGAAGATAGTCTGCGCCTTCAGGACTGCTACCTATTCGATTCTTACCACTTCGTCAGCCCCACGACAGACCCTTAAAAACTATCTATAGCCAAAAAATATTGACTGTACCATGGATAATATGTTATAACATATACGCACAATAAATGTATAAGGTATCCACGAAGGAAATTGTGAGTTATCTCTAGTTTTGAGAGGGCAACGTTTAAACTTCATTATAGGTGTCATAAATTACTTACTAAGTTACACGGAGACCGTGTTACGGACGAAATAACTCGTGGTAAAAATAATTATATTATTCGTATCATATGCTATAAAAGTGTAAGCAATAATGAAGATGATTTTATATAAAATACGTACAGACGGTGCGCAGCTGGAGTCACGAATAACACAATAACGCACGCGTAAATGACTAATATTGTGCAAAAACGTTATATAAGGATACTACGACCGAATAGTATTGCTTTCAGTGCACATATGCGTTGCACTATGATTTTTTAAATAATTTGAAGCATATAAACAGCGTACAGACGGAGTTGTACAGTCAAGTTATGGAATAAATAAAAAATTATATTTTCCATTCAATTATTTACACACATATACCAATATGTTATGTATACAAATACTTAAAAACCATACATTTACTACACACAATCAAAATAGGTCAATAAATATTTTGTTTGCGCGTTATGAATGTTATGATTATAAGCATAATAAATAATAATATATTATACCTATTTCTTTAAACAAAGAATATCTGAAAAAAAAATATAGACTCAGAGAGAAATTGTAGGCGTTTTGCATTGATTACCAAAACAAAGTAAACGGATAAATGGTCGACTACTAGCCATTTCAATACTGTTATATTATTTTTTGCACTCAGCGACCAATGTAAACACTGACCCCACGGAAAAAAACTCGGACAACTTCATTGATATAACACACGAGTTTATACTTTCTAATTATTTTTATGGATATATTATCATTATTATTATTATTATAAACGTACTGTAATTTTTAACGCGTAACGTATAAATTATTTCTGTACATTCTGTACGAAAAACGTTGATTCAAAAACAATAAAATTATAAAGGTAAGTACTAGGTAAAGTGGAAAAAAACGTAATTAAATTAAACAGTTATAAAATTATACTCGGTAATAAAACGAAAAAAACGCTAATTGAATCGATGTTGAAGACAACAATTATTATTATATTATTACAAAGGGAAAAGATAATATTAAAAACGTTAAATACTTTAAGTGTTGTTGTACACGTATACACTATATATTATACACGTATATGGTATATAACTTACGGCCGGATATTATTGACTGTCGTATGCATTTTATATTTAAAAAAAATATAAATTTTAAAAAAACACAATTTTGTGAATTGCATCAACAACAATAGAGCATATAATGTTGTGTATATATATAATAAATATAATAATGATATTGTTGACTAGGCAAGGTCGTCCCGGCCGCATATTAGCATTCTGGGGTCGGTCTCGGCACCGGTTATCATTTTAGCCTTCTGATTGGTCGTTTCTACTATCTATATAAAAATCTAATTTTCTTATCATATTATATCATATTATATTCTAGACTACTTGAGACATAATCTATATATAGAGTATGAGTAGGTATCATTAACCATTAAAAGGGTTTTGACTTTTTGTAGGAAGCTTTTTAACTAAAAAATTCTTAAAATGTTTAAATTAGTGGAATTTAATAATAATTCATTTCGTTCTAATATGTTTTCTGAACAAGATATATGTAAATGGATTAGTATTCATAGTAAACAGACCAATACAAGCTGGTGTGTGAACAATAAATTGTCAAACAGTGAAAGTTCAAGATATGTTTGTAGGTAAGAAGTCAATACACACACACACACACACACATATATACCAGCAGTATTTATACAATTATATATTATCTACCTATTTTGTTAAGTTAAAATAATTGGTATGGTATTTTAGAAAAGTTTATATGTGTCACCATAGTGGATTTAATAAAGTTAGTATTGACAACAACAAAAAAGGGAGATCAAAAAACACAGAATGCAAAGCTCAAATTGACATTAAAATTAAACTTAATACTAAGGACACAAGAAAAAAGGATAAATATATTAGAGTGAGTAGATACTATATATTCAACTTTCATCCATTTATTTTGCTTACTATAGCATAATTTATAATTTAAAATAATAGGATGGTTTACCAGCAGTTGTTATATTTGTGAATGAACATAACCATAATTTAGCTTCTGCTGAAGCTTTATCTTTTTTAAGACCTACCAATGAAGTTAGAATAATATATGAAAATTATTTCAATGATGGTTTAGGTGAGTATTTATCTCCTCTATAATAAATAATAATTAAATAATAGCTATTTACCTGGAAGTTAATAGAATAATAAGTAATATAATATATTTTAACAGTACAATAAATACAATATCCTCAGATACAAAATATGTGCATACTACAAACATTTAACTATAAAAATTAATAATTAAATTCAACGAAATCAACATTTTTACATGTTATAATATTATATTACTTTAGGGAAAATTAGTTAAATATTTTGAAACAATAAAAAACTAAAATGTATGTACAATTACTCTGCCTCATATTACATAATAATTTAATTTAAAATTAGTTTTAAACTGTAATTTTAACACATTTCTCAAACAGCTGAGTGTTTGAGTTGTAAAGAAAGTAGGTAAATATTGGTATAATTTGTTAATGTTTGTGTGGGATGGCATTTTTGTATATGAATTACTATTACCCAAAAAACTGTATTGTAGTGATATTGAAAATGGTGTGCCAATTATTAAAAAAAAATGTATTAAATTAATTTTATTTTTTCAAAATACAAACTTTTAAGTATATTATATTAATTAATGCATATAGGCATATCAGAGTCTATAAGTATCCATGAAACAAAATTGGAATTAGAGTATGGTATAAATTCTGAAGAACTAGCTGATGCTTCAATTAACCCTAAGTATAGGACCGTTCGTCATTGGTATGACACTTGGAAATTAAATAACCTCGGATCTTCTAATGAACTTAGTGTATTACAGGTATGCATAGTAATAATTATAAATTTCAATTTAATACTAGTAATAGCCATAATAAAAAAATTAGTTTGATTATTTAAACCTTAAAATAAAATATAGATCTGTAAAATAATATATTAATAATTTAAATTAAAACATTTAAAATAACAATGTATGTTAAAGTGTGTCAAAGGTTAGGAGGTTTCCTTGAAGGAATAAGCATTGTTGACATCATAAATTTAAATTTCAACATATTATCTATAATTTATTGAATTTACCTAATATAATGGGTAAATATAAATTATAATATAAACATTTAATCATTAACTCTTGAAATAAATACATATAATTTTGACCAATTTAAAACATATATTTTTACAACATTTTCTTATATTATTATTACCTACCCATCTATAATTTTTCACAAAAGTCAAATATGTAATTTTACTCAATGTTTACATCATAAATTGATGTTAATATTGTTTGAATATAAAAATAAGTTTGTATATTATTTTTTTAGTAGGTACATAATTTACATCCACTGTTATAATTAATATTATATATACTAATATTATAAATTTATTATAATTTCCCTAATCCCACTATATGTTTAACTTAAAGGGATCAGGTAAAAAATAATAATAGAAATAAAATAAAATTATATATAAAACTGAGAATTACCTAGCTCTCAAGTCTAATAATGTTAAATATACATGTGGAATGTGGATATATGATTATGTATGTATTATTATTCTGATTTAATAAATTATATAAAAAAATATAAATAGGTAAATGAATAAATACAATTAACTTTATAATTTTATATTAATAAGTCTCCTTAACAATTTATTATGTTGTACCTATTATATTAATTAAATAAATTTGGGCAAGTGACCATAATACCATATCATAAAATTCCATATTAATTTATATCACCACCTATTTTTAAATATTTTTTTTTTATATTGTTACCAAGTAAAAAGAATCTAATTAAATACATTAAATAATTAAATTAGGTACTTATTTTATATTAAAAAATTTTTAAAAAATATTTCATTTTTAAAATTACCAATGGATAATGTACTTTTATAATCTATATCCTACAGTACCTAATACACTGTAAAACTGATATTAAATTTGTATTACTTAATTCTTAAATAAATATTTTGTAGAAACTTGATGATAAGAAAACCGATTATGAAAAATGTGGAATAATTGTAAGGTTTAATGAAAATCCATTTGCTATACTAGTGGTCACTCCTATTATGCAAAGAGCTCATCAATTAGCTTTTTCTAAAGATATTGCTTTTGCAGACAGTACTGCGTCATGTGATACTCAGAGTCACTCTGTTACATTTATGCTAACATCATGTGGTATTGGAGCTATTCCTCTGGGCATGTTTATAACAAAAGGACAAACAGTTGATGACTATAAGACTGCATTTTCATTACTGAAAGATTCAGTTCCTAATAGTTTTTATGGCCAAGGTTTTCCAAGACATTTTATAATTGATGATAGCGAGGCAGAAAGACAAGCACTAAAATCAATTTGGCCACAATCAAATATTTTGCTTTGTAGGTTCCATGTATTACAGTCAGTTTGGAGATGGTTATGGGATGTAAAACATAATATCAAAAATGAACACAGAAAATTGTTATTTAAATTATTTCAAAGTATTTTAATTGCACCTGATTATAATAGTGCTCATAATGCCTATACTACTGCTATTGGCAAAACAAACACTATAAATAATAGTATAAGTGATGAAATTATACCTCTTAAGTATGAAAAATGGGTGAAATATATGAATAATTATTGGGCGAGGAAAGAATTATGGTGTCTAGCTTTTAGAGATGCTACTGTCCATGGTAATCAGACCAATAATTTTAGTGAAGTTAATGTACGGATTTTTAAAGACATAGTACTCTCTAGAAATAAGGCATATAATGCCATTGCACTGGTGGATTTTATTTGTACTGGCCTTGAAGATTACTACTTAAGACGTTTAAGGACTTTTGTTAATGGTAGAAATGACACAGCTCGATTGCTTTTTGAAGATCAAATAAAAAGAGCTGTTAATATTAATAAAGATTCAATAGAAAAATTGCCTAACAATATATTTAAAGTACCATCAGGGTCCGATTGTGGTTATTATGAAGTAGATGTTACTCATGGATTTTGTTCTTGTTCCAAAGGAAACTTGGGAGCTTTTTGCAAGCATCAGGCAGCAGTATACCATCACTTTAACAGAGCCATGCCTAATTTACCAGCTATTACTGTCGATTCTCGCTATATGCTAGCTAAATTAGCTTTTGGAGAGAATGTACCTGAAATAGCATTTTATAAGCCACTTCATCTTGAAAATAATAATTGTCAATCTAGTGAAGAAACAACAGAAATTGTTGAAGATAATGTATTATCATCTCCAATAAGAAATACTATAGTTGAAACTGATGATCATCTTGATAATCATAATATTGATCAACAGTCGGATGAATATGTTAACCAGATTCAAGAATTAATTAAAACAAATTTTGAAAAATTTAAAAGTAATACTTCAGTTTCTGTACTCTCTAAATGTTTAGATCGTTTGAAGAAAGTTAAGTCAATTGCTACTTGGGAATCATTTTTGAGTACTGCTGGTAGTACTATATCACTAAGACATCGATCTCGTGCAACTATTCATGTACAGCCTACTACCATAAGTAGAAGAAAGCCAGGTGTCACAAGAGGTAGTAAACGTTTATTAGTAGGACGACCAGTGAAAACAGACAATAACAAAAGAAATGTATTAAAAAGAAAAAGAAATTTAGCCGAAAATGTGAGGAAAAATGTCCCAAATGCCAAAGGTCATTGATTGCTATTACTAGTATCAACCTATTATGTATTTACTATTTTCATCAAATTTTATAAAGCATATTTTTTATTATTATTATATACATATTTTATAATTACTATACTTAGGTACTTTATATAATTATTATAATTACTTTTTCTGTATTTTTTTTTTTTGTCTGTGTATTTATATTTTTAATAATAATAATAATACCAATATTTTTTTTAAAACATTCATTAATTTGCTCTAAAATATTATAATTACATAAAATGTAAAACTGCCAAGTTGAATTTTCCATTAATTTTTTATTATTATAAGTAATATTTATTACCCTAATTTCTAAGAATATTGTACCTTACTGTTAAATATTACATATGTCCTATGTTATTAACTTCCAGTTAAATAACTATTACCTACTTAATTATTATTCATTATAGAGGAGATAAATATTTATCTAAAGTCATTGAAATAATTGTCATATTTAATTCTAACTTCAGTAATAGGTCTTAAAAATATAAATCTACAGTAAGCAAAGTAAATGGATGAAAGTTGAATATATAGTAGGTACATAAAAAAATAAAAATATATTTTTCTCAGTTCAGAATCTAATAACTGAATTAAGTTTTTTAATGACTTAGCAGATTGGACAAGTGAAACTCATCTACTTACTCTAATATATTTATCCTTTTTTTGTGTTTTTTAACTGTTTTTTAGTATTTAATTTTGGTATTTTGTGTTCTAGCATCTCCCTTTTTAGTTATTCACAATAAACTTATTATTATTATTATTATTTTATTCACTATAAACTTTTATAAAACAAATAACAATTAGCAATTATTTTTCACTGTTTGACAACTAATTGTTCATAACATAATATGCTCTAAGCACTAACTTCATTCAGACTTTATTAATTTGTTACTATTTTATTAAGTATAATACTACTGGTATAAAAAAATGTTGGTTTAACTAGGTATAGAATAATGTATTTATCCTTTTTTGTACCTATGTCTCAAGTAAAACATATTTGAATGCTAATATGAATACTAAATACTAAATACTAATACCATTTACATTTGAAATTTAACTAGTCTAGATATATGCATTAATTGATATAATATACTTAAAAGTTTGTATTTTGAAAAAATAAAATTAATTTAATACATTTTTTTTTAATAATTGGCACACCATTTTCAATATCACTACAATACAGTTTTTTGGGTAATAGTAATTCATATACAAAAATGCCATCCCACACAAACATTAACAAATTATACCAATATTTACCTACTTTCTTTACAACTCAAACACTCAGCTGTTTGAGAAATGTGTTAAAATTACAGTTTAAAACTAATTTTAAATTAAATTATTATGTAATATGAGGCAGAGTAATTGTACATACATTTTAGTTTTTTATTGTTTCAAAATATTTAACTAATTTTCCCTAAAGTAATATAATATTATAACATGTAAAAATGTTGATTTCGTTGAATTTAATTATTAATTTTTATAGTTAAATGTTTGTAGTATGCACATATTTTGTATCTGAGGATATTGTATTTATTGTACTGTTAAAATATATTATATTACTTATTATTCTATTAACTTCCAGGTAAATAGCTATTATTTAATTATTATTTATTATAGAGGAGATAAATACTCACCTAAACCATCATTGAAATAATTTTCATATATTATTCTAACTTCATTGGTAGGTCTTAAAAAAGATAAAGCTTCAGCAGAAGCTAAATTATGGTTATGTTCATTCACAAATATAACAACTGCTGGTAAACCATCCTATTATTTTAAATTATAAATTATGCTATAGTAAGCAAAATAAATGGATGAAAGTTGAATATATAGTATCTACTCACTCTAATATATTTATCCTTTTTTCTTGTGTCCTTAGTATTAAGTTTAATTTTAATGTCAATTTGAGCTTTGCATTCTGTGTTTTTTGATCTCCCTTTTTTGTTGTTGTCAATACTAACTTTATTAAATCCACTATGGTGACACATATAAACTTTTCTAAAATACCATACCAATTATTTTAACTTAACAAAATAGGTAGATAATATATAATTGTATAAATACTGCTGGTATATATGTGTGTGTGTGTGTGTGTGTATTGACTTCTTACCTACAAACATATCTTGAACTTTCACTGTTTGACAATTTATTGTTCACACACCAGCTTGTATTGGTCTGTTTACTATGAATACTAATCCATTTACATATATCTTGTTCAGAAAACATATTAGAACGAAATGAATTATTATTAAATTCCACTAATTTAAACATTTTAAGAATTTTTTAGTTAAAAAGCTTCCTACAAAAAGTCAAAACCCTTTTAATGGTTAATGATACCTACTCATACTCTATATATAGATTATGTCTCAAGTAGTCTAGAATATAATATGATATAATATGATAAGAAAATTAGATTTTTATATAGATAGTAGAAACGACCAATCAGAAGGCTAAAATGATAACCGGTGCCGAGACCGACCCCAGAATGCTAATATGCCGCCCGGACAGCGTACGAAGGATTCGCACCCGGTACCTACGTGTTTCCTACCTAACGCCTAACCTACTCGCACACAGTTTGAGATATGGAATATGGTCAAAACATCAAGACTTAGGGCGTGCGTCCACGGAGCGACATAAACCGATATATTCGATGATCATCCATGTAATCGCATATAATTCGCTTGTAATACGCGCATTTCCCATATATATATTTAACGGGGCGTGTGAAAAGCGTTTTCCGTTAATAATTATTAAATCATAGGCAAAAATTAAATTATACACGTATATACATGTACATATACTCATATACATGTATATACGCGTAAGGTCGGTCGGTCGCCGGCGTAATTTATAAACGCGATTGCGAGGCGAACGAACCGATTTCGGAGGAAAAGCGCAAATAAACGGCTTTAAAAAGACGTCGACTACACGATTCGGGCACAAACAGCGTGCGAATAGACGAAACGGTGGGAGAAAACCAAAAAATCGGCAAAAAAAGTCCGGCCGAGAGTGTATTTTTCGATCGACATTGCGACCGCTTCGGACGGTTCACGAATATAAACCGCACACCGGCGGCTTCGAATTAGGTATAAAAAAGGGCGAAAAGGGTCGAAAAAGATCGAAATCGTGTAAAAACAGCTAATTTTCGGAAAATTTAAAAAATCGGCGAAATGATATGAAAAGAGGTGATAACGAAAAACGTTTTAAGACCGATCGCCGCCGCCGCGGAGGTACGCGATTGGTGGCGCTATAAAGAATCGACGGAATCTGGCCAGCCGGCCGGGGAAACCATAGAGTAATATGTAAGTAATTACTCTATGGGGGAAACGGAGCGGTGCTTTATTTTTTACGCCACGGGTTCACTTCGCTATAGCCGCCGTTTTCCATTCCATTGGTACACTATAGACAGCTGTGTCGCAGTCAGCTGTTCTTCATTTTATAGTATAGAAAGAATAGAAAGAACTTAAAATAGGACTTACCCGCGATAACTCCCACTGTTAAAAAAATAATCTAACATTCAACTTATTTTTAGAATAACAATAATCGATTAAATGATAAATAGTTCTCCTTTCATCAATGTTTTATCTAAATCACTATAGAACTAATAATATCATAATGGAAGATAAGATAACATTATTTGACAAATATTTTCAGTTTAAAGTTGACGGTCGGTATGTTAGAAAAAATCTAACACGCGAACAAAGACAACGCGCGAGTAATCCTGGGTTAAAATATTGTAAGTAATCTTTTTTTCTTTTGTTAACATGGGTATTCCCGGTTTGACATCATTTATAAATCGTAATTCAACTAAATATTTAGAAAATCTAGACCTCAAAGACACTTTGGTTATAATAGATAGTTCTGCTTTAACACGTTTTCTATACAAGAAGTATGACGGCCAAACAGGCGCTTTCGGTGGAGATTATGATGTTTTAGCCAAGATTTATACTGATTTTATTAACTTGTTAACGAGATGCAATGTAACACCAATTTTTGTATTTGGTGGTGCCTATGAACAGCGGAAAATGGGAACGATCATGAGTCGAATAAGCCTGAGAATAAAAACTTACAGCCAACCAATGAAGTCTGAAGAATGTATGCCAATGTTTGGTGGGAATGTTATAATTGATATTCTTAATGACATGGACATACCACATATAAATTGTGATTTTGAAGCTGATTCGGAGATCGTGGTATTGGCTAAGTTATTAAATTGTCCTGTTATAAGTCGTGATTCTGATTTTTATATAAATACAGTACCGTATATACCATTGGACAAGATTATCCTTGATTTAGATTCTAATATAAAAGTAATGAATTGTCAGGTATATAAAGTTGAAAAATTACTGAGTGAATTTGGTGGTTTAAATCTTGACTATTTACCTTTAGTGGCTGCACTATTAGGTAATGATTACATAAGACAAAACACATTTTCTTCGCTTTTACAAATAAACTCAGGGGGTTTCAACTTTGGATTGAAACTGGAACGAAGCATAGAATGGCTTAGAAAACAACATGATATAAAATCAGCTATATCAAATATGACTTATAAATTATCTCGCAATAGGAACTATATCGAAAATCAAATAAACAACATCATAAACGACTATAAAAATATGAATAGCAAATACTTATCATTCATTCTTCAATATAAAAAGATGAGCGCATATACAGATAGATTAAGACATTTAAAACCAAACGGAAAAAGTATACTACCTCCTTGGTTAGAGTATAACTATCGTAGAGGTACTGTAAATACAGAAGTTATGAATATCGTAACATTAAAAAAAATATTTTTTAAAGCACAAATTGAAGATTATAAAAAAGTACCTCACTATAAAATTTCCTTCAAAATAATGCGAAGTATAATTGGATTATTGTTTGGAAAAGGTGAATCGATTCCCACTGTAGGAAGAAAAGATGGACTTAATATAGGTGAATACAAAATAAAACCATATATAACTAATCCTTATGTACCGTTAAATGATTTAAATAAGACTGAATTAGTATACCGCAAAAATATAATTTTAAATTTAGTTGGTATAAAAAAACTTGAAGGTGTTCCAAAAGATATGGAGTTATTTGTTTTGATTTTAATTTACTGGGCAGTATATACCAATAATAATATTAAATCCAAACACATGCATGCCTTAATTGTATGTGCAATAATATTTAATGTCATCAAAAAAATTGAAATTGATCCGAAAAACAGAAAAACTGAAGATAATAATGGCAAAAGTGTTATAGAAGAAAATATTACTAAAGTGAATAAAGAAGATTGTTTAGAAGCTATGAGTGTATTATCAAATTATTTTCAAGTTAGTCAATATTATAATGACAAGCATTTATATTATAAAATTATGCACTCATTTGCACAATTTCAGAGTTGTGTTTATTTTTTTATGATTCTCAACTCATTGCTGGACTTCCCATTTGATCAGTGTCGTATAGAACATTTTTATAAAGGGACATTTTTGTATAATTTATGTGTACAAATGGAAAATTGTGATCCAGAAGTATTTGTATCAAGTAAACTGTTTGAAAAATTAGATTCAATAAATAATGTTTACAAATCAATAATTGAACATATAAATGTACTTTTGCCAGTTCCAAAAAAAAGAGCAACTGTAAGTTGTAACACAGGACACCAATAACAGTTCAAGACCCAAAGACATAAAAACACAGAAAAATCAAAAATAATGTCAACAAACTATTTTATATTTAAAACTTAAATACTAGTACCTATGCAAAGAACTTATTTAACACATTGGATATTATGTACCTATATTATTTAAAAATAGATTTTAGATTTTAGATTTTATATTTATGACTATTATACTTTATTTTATACTTTAATCATAATAATTTGTTAAATTGTAAGCTTATATTAAATGTAATTCATTTCACAGTAAAATTAAAATGAATTCATTATGATTTTACATAACACAATATGTTAATTTAGTTACTGTAAAATGTGGTGACCCCGGACAGATTGTAACAATTTTTTTTTTTTATTCAACCTCAATGTTATATTGTTTCTAAAATAATTAAAAATATATACCACATTCTTAAGTATGTTGAAATCATATAAGAGAAGAATAATCATTAAGTTCATTAAAGTTCCCTCTTTTTTTTTAAAAGTGCATAGTGCAAATTTTGTGCAGAGTGACCAGCAAATTTGGATGACTTTGGACAGTGGACATTTATTAGTTTTTATTTGAAACCGATGATATATAGTATGACAATAGCTGACTTCAGACAATATTAATACTTAAAAAAAAAATGAAATCAATTGAAAAAAATTCCATTCAATTATTTTTTAATTTTCAAACACATATTAATAAACTAAAGTTTTGTGTAATTTTAAATTAATTTATTTCTTCAGTGAAAATATTGTTGTCCAAAGGCCACATAAATTTGTAATAATTTAGAAAAAATAAGCAAGTCTATAGCGGATTTCTATGCAAGTAGATTGTGGGGGGATCTAAGGGGGCTATAGCTCCCCTATAATTTTGTTTAGCCCCAATCCCGTACATTTTTTTTGTTACATTTTAAGAATAAATGTGTACAGAAACATAATAGCCTATAGCCCTGCTTTATTAATGAACCACGCTATGCCTATGAAGATTACCAAAAACCGCATTCAAAAATGTCTTATTTATTGGTTGTGGTACAATTATAAGTTTGTTAATTTGAAAATATAAAAATAGAATATTTTACCTCCATCCCATGTTGTGGTGATTACAATGTTATCGAAAAATATTGTTTTCTATACAAGTTTTAATGTGGTTATAATAGATGTTAACATAGATATCAGTTTTTAACTATTATCAAACATTTAATCAAAAGTTATAATTTAACTACTAAAACATGGTATTGTCCAGAAACCCACCACATGTCTGAATTTATCCTATTTTATTTTCAATTGTATACTTACTTACATTAGTTGGATCATTTAAGCAGTTAAGCTTCCCTTGTCCATTGTTTTTAAATATAAAATGTACAACATTTAAAAATGAAAACACTAAAAACAAACTTTACCTCTTGACTGGTATGAACGAAGTAAATCTTGTAACTTCGCTTGATGTAATTTGGCTTGCCTGACTAATAACTCATTATGTTCTTTTAGCATTGCTACTTCGGACTCCACTGATTTCCATTCTCCATATGTGACTTCGACCTTTAAAAATAATCAAATAAAAATAAAAATGATATATAATATATTTAATAACATTAATTAATTAAATTAGTACTTTTTCATTTGCTTCTTCAAGCTGTTGATAAAGATTTTCATTTTCAGCAGCAATTTCTCTACTTCTAGAAGAAAATCGAGCAAGTTCATTTTTGTAGCTTTCAATAGTAACATCTTTCTCTTCTAACGATGTTTGGTATGCTTCTAACAATGGTGATACTGCATTAATATCTTCTCTGCGCCAGCTTATATTTTTGGGATCTAAACCAAACAAAAAAAATAAAATATTTCTTACATAAAAAACAATATTTTGCTGTAAAAGCAATCTAAAACTATTAAGTAAAAATGTATATGAATATCCAACTGGAGGAAAGTGGATGTGCTGTACAGGGTGTCCTCAACCATATTATTAGCATCATTCTACCATGCAATCAAGGATGTATTTGTAAATAATGTTTTGAATATACTCCATACTTTACAAAAATGTATTTAAAAAAAAATTGTCTTCCTACACTAGAAAATTTGTCGAACAATCACATTTTTATGGTTCTCGAGCGTAGTTGTGTGTCATGGGTAACCACAGAATTTAAAAATAAATAAATTAGGAAAGCTCACTCTACGAGCCTGTTAAATTCCCAGTTTTCAAATGTATTTTAATACGATGCAAAAAAATATTATTCCAAAAAGGATTTAAACAGAATTTGGTAACCTTAATAATTTGGTAATATATTTTGGCTAGTTTGATTCTGTATTAAATACTTATTACTTTACTTATTACTTAATACCAGAGGTATTCAAACTTTTTCATCCCACTGCTCCCGTGTATTCACAATATTTTTACGGCTCCCAAATTATTATGAAAAAATTGAAACAATACGGATACAATATTATAGACAATATGGGTGATAATAACAGTAACTTTAATACTAGAAATAAAACTTCAAATAGTCGGGTAATGTGTCTCGTTATTGTTTCCATAATTGCTTAAATGATTGTAAATAATATTTATATTAATTATACTTGACCTAAATTAATTTTGGTTTCCGGTGCTTTGACGCGGCTCCCTTCAACAACTTTGGCGACGCCTCTGGGAGCCGCGACACACAATTTGAATACCTCTGACTAATACAATAAGTAATTACCAGTTATCTTAATATCAACAATAGTAATTAAATATCTTAATACAAACAATCGTAACTACAGTATTGGATAATAATGTAATGTAAATTAAAAATTACTGTAAAAAAATTACTTTTGCAGTAACGCTGTAGTAATTTCATTTACTTTATTTCAATTATCGTAATCATAACAAAATTACTTTTTAAAAATATTGCCCTATTTTTTGAATGAAAAAGTAATGGAATGTGATAAAAATAATGTCTAGTAATGCGAATGCAATTTAAATAAAAATATTTAGTGTAACGAATAGCATAATTGTATTACTCTTTAAAAGTATTTGCCCAACACTGGGTAACTATGTACAAGTAACTATCGTACGGATGGACACAATGGGGATATAAGGTGTTCTAAACTTATATTTGGAAACCTAAAATTGTAATTTAAAACAGAATAAAATAATATATTCATTGTCCAACATTCACCGCGTTAAACTACCCACCATATACTAATAAAACCAGTATTGTAAAGTATTTGAGTAAAAGTATTCAAATACTTTTTTCCGTATTGAATACTTTTTTAAATACCTTTTATTTTGAAACATTTGAATAGTATTTTAAATACTTTTTTTTACTATTGAATACTATTTTATTGAATACTTTTTTTTTATTCTTTTAATTCTTAATTGGTTTCTGCTTATAATATTTATTCTTGTTAAATAAAAATACCAAGCCTTCGTGGTTTTCTTTTAACATTATAACAATATAACATTATATATTTATCATTTATGCCTTATACTTTATAATTATTTAATTATACAAAAATATTATTACTAATTATATTGGTACCTGCAACCTATTTAGTTTTTACCAAGAAAATTATTATCAATAATTATCATTATCGTTTATTGTCGACGACGATCTATGACGGTATAAGATATCCAAATACATATAGCTTTAAATTAATATATAATTTTGTAAAGAAAAGTTCATTGGTGTGGTGCAACTTACATGACTGATCAGAATTTTGATATGTTTTTAAAATGCAATAAACAAATTTTTGCTATGACAAATTATTTCAGAACTAAAAAGAATATAGTAGTATTTTAAATACTTTATTTTAAGAGTAGTTGAGTAATTACTTAAATACTTTTAAAAAGTATTTTTTACAATACTGAATAAAACTAATATTTGTATCAAGTGTAAAAATTTCTAAATAAATAATGTTATACATTGATAACTTATATGAATACGTTGTATATGCTGTATATGCTTCCTGCATACAATATCAGATTTAATCTTTTTTTCTATAACACAAATTAACAAAATAAAAGCTAAAGTGGCTCCAGTTTCAATAGTTATTTTATTTTATATTATAAATAAAATGAATTACTGTAATTAATACGAATGAATAGAAAAAATATAAAATAATGATATTCAATTTAAATATATTTACTAACTAAATTTCCTAGGCGTACACAATTTTTTTTTTTTTTTTTTGGGGGGGGAGTGAACCTTCAAAACCCCTTTTGTGTATGCATTTGCTAAATTGTTGTTATAATGTAACATATATTACTATCCACTTGGTATTTCACAAATATGATTATATAATTTTATCAAATTGATCAAAGTGAATGGACATAACCTAACCTAACCTTACTACCACTAAGTCCCCCAAAAATATTGTAAATGATTGCTCATAAGTAGGGCTGTGAATTTTTTTTTGGTGATTCTGAAACGTAGTTTTGTAAGTATATAAGTTTAATTATGTAACTGTGAATCCATTTATGAAACTTTTATTTTGCATTTTTTTGACGTTTTAATTTTTTTTGCATTTTTAGGTCATATTTTTCTTTTTTAGTTCATTTTCTGATATTTTTAATCAGATTCCGTCAATTGACATGTTTGAAAAACATTTTTTTTTTTTTTTTTGTTAAGTGCAATAGTAAAGGCTAAAGACTAAAGATGAATAAGGTACCCGCAAATAAATACATTTAAGTTTGTTTTATTATTTCAACAAAATAGATACTTAAAAAAATTTTTTTTTTTAATGTTTCAGGTGAAAAGCATAAAACAAAATTTAAATTTAATCAATATTTAATTAAATAAACACAATTTTATGCATGTAAAAATTAATGTACTAATGTATAATATCCTATAAAATCAATATAAATATAAAAATTAAATTAAAAACCATTTTAAGTTAATTTTATACTATAACTTTTGGCATTTGATATTGCATTTTTTTAACATTTTTAAGGTTTTTAGTGCATTAAATTCACAGCCCTGCTCTTAAGATTTGTTAAACCTTCATCATTATCTCCAAAAACCAATTAAAAACTTTTAACACTTAAAATAGTTTCAGCCACTAACAACTCACCTATTTATATATTTAATTCATATAATAAAATTGTATTATAATAGCAAAATAATTTAAGTTATAAATTAATTGTTTAAATAAATGAAGTTTAAAAAAAATGTATATCGGTTTATACTGATACTCACTCATAATAAGCCATAATTTGTATAGTTTGTATCTAATGCCTATCAAGATTCTAGTTTCATCATACTGAAAGACTTTAGTATGTTGTATGTACAATGTTCATGTATCAAAATAGAAACTAAACTTGTTATGAGATAATGGAAAAAAATGCTTGTTTATTTCAACAGTTATCATTTAAAAATTATTAAGTAATTAGTAAACACAGTAAGGGCCGTTCTTACAATGTCCGGTAAAGTGTCGGTTAACGCTAACCAACTGATAACAGATTTTATTACCGGCAGAATTCTTCCGGTTAAGTGTCGGTTAACTTTAACCGGACGTCGTAAGAACGGCCCTAAGTGTAATTCATTTCAAGCGTTTTAGAAAAATATTTACTAGTATATTCTTCTAAGTATTTATCAAAAGTTATATGATTAAAACAACAAAATATATCAAAAATAATAAATATATTTCATTACATTGTGCAATGCTTTTGTTGCTAATAATATAACTCTATAGATACCTTGTACTCGCATGTAACCCCCAGATTCTGGAAATTGATCTTTTGATAGCAGTTTATCTTGACATTTTTCCAATTCTCTATTCAACCTAGAAAAAAAATCTTCATTCTTAATATTTGTATACAATTTCTAAGTTAAAATGTCAACTTTTATCATACCTATAAGTTAGATTTTTTAATACAAAAACGTCTTGTTTCAGTTCTTTGTTTTTATCGATTAATCGATTTACTTCACTCTGCCTATTCATGGTTTCAATGGCTGTACATTGTCTTTGTAATTCATCCCTTTTTTTCTCCAACTGTTTGAGATGTGATGCCATTCTAGCAACATTTTCTGACATGTCTACATCTAAAATTTTTAAAACAAGTAGGTAAATAACCTGGTTACAATTACAAAAATTAAACTCCATCCATACTGTTTCTTAGGCGATCTAAAGGTGATATACTTTCTCCCATATTGAGCTCCCTTCGTGACATTCTCTCCATAGCCGGCACAATACATCTTTCGGCAACCACATCAACCACATAGGGTACCTTCAAAACGTTTACATGTTAACTAATGGAGAAATGAATACCCAGTGCATACCTAACAAATTCATTTGGACCATCATTACTTTATCCGAAGTACTCGAGCGTGTTCTGCGAGGTGGAATTGGAATTTGCCCATCTTGACTGTAATTACTTGCCATATTGCTTACAGTATTGCAATTAGCCTATGTCAACAATTCTTTTCATCGAATTCTCGAGATTTTAAATATTATAAATTATACAATTTTATTACATTTGTGTTAAGTTTATGACTAGATGAGGTTTCAAAAGACAGTCTATGTTTAGTCTTTTTTGTTTACATAGGTATGTATTTCTTTATATGGAAATATTTTATTTTTCGTAAAATTACGTTTCAAATTGTTTTAAGTAGTACAAAATAGGAAGACTGAATAAATGAGAATTCATAGCGAATAGCGATTGAGACGATTGAGTATTGACTTTTGTCCTCAGTCCTCACTCGTAGCAAATTCGTATCGCGTTCTTGTACATAGTACAAAAAAATCGTTAATCTTATCAATATTAAAAGAAAACACTGATAATAAATAATAATTGATAGCATCGCAGACCGCAAGTCAATGACCAAAACATTCAATGTTTATTTTATTGTTTACTTAATACTTACTATAATACTACAATAGTTCACTTAGTTAAAGGTACAAATGACTATAAAAATCACATTGGCACATAAAAAACTGAAATCGAGTGCATCGACTGCTTGGTACTTAATTGATCAATTTATGTCTTAACTTTGTACAATTGTACTTGTAGCAGTAGTACCGATTTCTTTTATTCTTGAAATGTATTAATGTTCCATAATATTTTCAAACATAAGATTCACACACAAACACGTCATTATCATTTGTTTTACGTGAATGACGCATTTTTTGATTGTGAGTGGACCGATGAATATTGAATTTATTAATTTTGAATCGTGGTTAAAAAGTACTAAATAAAAAGGTCCTAGGAAAAATGTCTGAGGCATAAAAAGTCCGCCGTAGATAAGTCCTAAGCCTAAAAAGTCCGGAGTAAAAAACTCCTGTATATTATGTTATATACATAACAATATTTAAAATAATTTATTAAAAAAAAAATCCAATGATTATAATTATGTACTTAGTATCATAACCATCTTACCTATATGAAAAATCGAAATAATATAATAAATTGAGTATTAACTATCGCCAATCGCCATACAAAATATAATATATTTAAAAAAAAAAATTCAATAATTATAATATGCCCCAGAGACTGTCCACAATTACTCCTCAATAATCAACCCCTACCCTACTCTCAAAATGTCAAATACCCACTGAACTCAATAATAATAATATTATTGAGTTCAGTGCAAATACCTTGGTCTAACTCTAGACCGCCGGCTTACACGGGCCCCTCATATACGCTCCGAACGTTTACCCCAACTAAGACACCTACTGACCTCCAAACATATTCATCTGAATAACAAACTCCTTACAAACATATTGCTACTAAAACCAATATGGGTCTATGGTATACAGCTCTGGGGATCAGCAAAGCCTACTAACATCAATAGAATACAAACCTATTAATCTAAAACTCTAAGACAAAAATCACTAAAGCACCATATTTTGTTTCCAACCACACACTACATCACGACCTCTCCATACCCTTTGTTGCAGATGTGGCTAAAACACACTACAAAAGATTACACAACCGTCTCTTAAACCATAGAAACCCACTCATGCATGATATTTCTTCCTTGACTATCCCCGGAAATCCTCCTAAACGGCTAAAGCGCAAATGGTGTAGATACCTACTGACTAATTAAATTTCTTTAATACTCATGTTTTTTTTTCTTTAATGTAGCACCTCCAATGGGAGACTTCTACGATCTGTTGTACCTACTTTATTACTTTTATTATTCATCAATTGTTCGTATTGTTCTTTGTGTAACAGATTGAATAAAGCATTTAATAAACAAAAAAAAAAAAAATAATTATAATATTTTCTAGTACTATGATTTATGACTTATCAGTTTAATTAACTAACTGTCTTCAAAAAAATATTTAAAAAAAAATGTATTTTGTTAGGTAGGTAAATAATTTAGTTACAATAACATTTTTATTAATAGGTACTAATTAGAAGTTTGATTGTGCATCACATGGTATTTTTCCTTTTACCTAATTATATATATCAGAATTTTTATGTTTCGGACTTTTTGGTATAAGTATATATAGACATATAGTACACCATTGATTTTAGATTGATATTTTTTATTTAATTTTTTTTTTTTTGTGCCTGCAATTACCGTTTGGGGTTATTAAAACTGTTTCGATTTTCTTCGACAGTATCTTGTTTGATGGAAAAGTGAATATAGTGGGGAGTATTCGGGACGTCAAAATTTAAAATTCACAGTAGATTTCAAAAGCGCCGGGAAAAACAAAATATAAATATTAAGGAAAAACGGGAATCTTTACGGATACATTCAGTTCAAAATCTTTTTAGTTTTTTTTTTATAAATGTCAATTAAATTTCATTCGTTTGTTACATTGACAGTTAAAAAATATTAAGAATACCTACTGTCACAATTTTTAGTTCGAATTTTGACAAAATACGTAAAAATCACAAAAACGTGTAAATTATTTTGAGTTAGAAATTTATAAAATTTTGCTTTTTAAATTTAAATACAATTTTTTATAGTAAAGATACTTGAAATGTACACCATATATTTATTTCATCAATTATTCCTATACTTGATAAAATGTTCAAAATATTTCGACGATGTTTTGAGCTATTTACGGACATTTTCAATTTTCAATTTCTTTTCTATATTTGTCAATATTTTATTTATTGTGTCAAAAAGGGTGAAAATTTAATACAAGGCTCCTGATAAATTGTTACTATAACAGTTTAAAATATTAAAAACATATGGGCACAATTTTTTTTTATAAGTATTTAAATATCGAATTTGGACAAAATTTATCTAATTTAAAATTGAATAATTATTTTGTAGTTAAAAATTTATAAAATGTTCAAATTTTATATCTAAGGATTGAAAAATTAAAACAAGGTTCCACGTAAAGAGATAAATAAATTACTTTGTTTACAATAATATAATCAAATATACTTATATTTTATCATTGAATTCAAATTTAACACCATCCAATACTACAGTGTCCCACTCACCCATCATTTTTAACTTTTGAGTTTTTGACTGTGTGTAATTATCTGTTACCTTTTTGGTATGATTTTTATTAGGACGCCTATAGGTTTCTTATTATTTTATATATTTCATTAGTAGTTTGTTTCTAAATCATAAATTAATATATACATAAATATTATACATCTAATATATAAAATTCTCGTGTCACAGTTTTCGTTGCCATACTCCTCCGAAATGGCTTGACAGATTTTGATGAAATTTTTTGTGCATATTCAGTAGGTATGAGAATCGGCTAACATCTATTTTTCATACCCCTAAGTGATAAGGGTTGTCCAGAAAAAAATAAAAGAAGTGCTCAAACAGGGATTTTGATCATTTACGGTAGAAATAATTGTTTATAAATGGTTGCTAAGGTATTGGTTATATATAATATATATAAAAAAAAAATAATAGATACAACATACAAAAATACATACACCTTTCTACGATCAACCCTTATTTTTTAATAGCCATTTTAGTAATTTAATCGTTTTTCCTTTTAATCAGCCCCTTTGCGTTTTATTGGCATTGCTCACCGTACAAAACATACATGATATGTTATTTTTATATTCCCTCATCGTTCACAGCGCTCCATGCTTACTTCACGCATATACCACATTCTTACATACATACAATATACACATTCTATCATACATACATACTTCCAATAAGTAAGCTATTTTTTGTCTACACTAGAAATTACTAGGAAATTATTTATATGGCAAAACAACGTTTGCCGTGTCAGCTAGTATTATATAATATATAATGTTGGTACTTTCTATGGTTAAATTAACATTTTTGGTGGTATCTTTTAATATTGGTTCACGGTTTATGCCGAAAATTTTATTTTTTAAATATATTAGTTATTGGTAATGTACTAATGTATATCAGAGTCTTGGATATCAGTAAAAAGTGGAAACGACCCATCCTTAGAAATTTTAATTGTTGCCTAATAATTGACTACTAATTAGCGTTGAAGGAAAATTAATTTATTAAAATAATTTGTTATTTTATAATAAAATAGGCAGTATTAAATATAAATTTGTACTCAAAATGCTTTATAATAATTGCATAATTTTACTCAAATACCCACTTGACAAATTTAAAACATTATTAACTGAAAAACATTAATGTTTATTTTTTTTTTAAATATGATAATTAATAATATAATATGATTCATTACATATTAAAACATATGCAGTAGTATTTCAAAAGGTATTATACTCTGTTAAGGTTTAGTTGTTTCACCTTTTCGCATACATAGTGACCTGCCGAAAATGTCAGATCCCTTTGATTGATGCCAAGTGATATTACGCTTTGTGATTGGTTGCCATTAGTCAGAAACCACCATTACTCCTCATTTTCAATGGCTACCGTGGTGTATTGTAGAGAGAATATGCTGCCCACAACCAGTTTTTGTCGTACAAGTAGGTCAATTTAACCTGAACAGAGTATAGTTATTACGGTTGACCATAATAAAAAAAAAATGTTTAATATAGATTTTTTAATTTATAATACAATCAAGTCAAATAATCAATATATACACTTTTTATGGAAATTTGTTTAAATCTAGTTCTTACAAAGTAGAATATATATTTCAAGGAGCTGGTGGTTGTTGACGAACAGCTTCTTTAGGGTTCTTCACAACTAAAATTACTGAATCACCACGTAGAAACATTTTTGAAATATACTTATCACGACTAACTGCCTTTGCCTAAAACAATAATCAATATTTAATAAGAAGTTTATAATTGTAAAAGCTATTACATAACAACAAATAATTACATTTCCTATCTCATTCAATATCTAAACATGCATTATAAAAGTAAAAATATTGGTTTATACTATTTAAATATAGGTACCTTCTTCTTGCCCTTGCCAGTCTTAGGTAACTCAGTCCACATTTCTCGTACATTTTCTAACACCATATTACAATGTCGATCAAAAGCTTTGATTCTTGCCAAAAGTTTTCTGTTATTACGACAATTGATCAGCACTTGAGTATTGTTACGGACAGATTGAGTCAGGACAGACATAGGACCTGTAGTGAATTCTTCTTCCTCGCGTTTTGCCAACTCTTCGGGGGTCATTTCAGATTTAGGTTTATTTGCTACTGCAGCCCTACATACATAACATTAATAAATTCATAAGATTTGAGTAAATTAATTACAACACTGAAATTTGATATAAAATCATAACTTTTAAAATATATAAACATTTAATGTAAACTATGTTTTTGTTCCATTTACAAATTATATATTGGTAATATAACATTAATTTACCAATTTACAGCCATGTGCCGTACGTATGCTACATAAATTATTAACAATTAATAACAAAAAATCACCAATTTTAAGAATAGTCGAAGCTTAATAATATATATTTGGTATTTCAATAATAAGTATTAAAATGTATCTTTTAATTAAAGACATATTCAGTATTATCAAATAAGCTTATTCAATGTATGTAGCAGTAGACCCAAATAAAAAATTATGTTAAAAAGAAATAAAACGAGAAATTTGTTAATACCCATAAGCCAGCGTTTAAGTGTCAATCAATAACTATTAAGGCAATTAAAAAAGTACAGTTCAACTATATTCAGTTCATTACATAAGGTATGTTCTCCTGATTAAGTAATTAATAAGACAAATACTGAATAGTTCGGTAATTATATTATTAGGCAGAATGTGTTAAGTTATAAAAATAATTAAATGTTATTTATTTGTTGTTAATACATGCTGTTAATTGTTATACTAATTACTAATATAGGTTTTTAAATCATATGATTAGATCGTATGCATCAGATATCAATTTATATTATTATTTTCTAAGTACATTTACTTACATTGTATAGAATTTGGGTCACAGAGAGATGTTCAATAAATAACTTAGTAAAATACGAAGTTTAAATGTTGAAATATAATTATTTAAGGTATACTTTAGGCAAAGTATAAAAAGATAAAGTTTGTAAACAAAAATTACAAAATACAAATCAAAAAACCGACAGTCAGAAATCAAAATGTCGACAGATACCGTAATACCGTATTCGCATTTCGTTGAATAGAAGCTAACCTAAAAAAATAATTTCAATGTTTTGTTTATACCATGATTTAAGATAGTAATACTATGGTTCATACCACGAATTAAGATAAAATATGATAAAATATCTCAAATTACCATTGGACATTCATGGTAGGCGTATGTATTCATGTGGTGTATGTCCTCACTCCGCGGTCAAATTTAAAACATAGTATTTTATAGAAAAAACGTACCAGGAATCGGGATGTTTGCAGTTTTTCACCGTATCATTGACATGGATCATTTACTTCATTCTCCCGAAGTCCCGAAGCGGATAATGAATTTTGCATGCTTCATAAAAATGTAAAAAAAAGGCCGAACAAACTTCGTTTTACAGTTATCAGTGAAGAATTTCAAAAAGTACAGTTTTTCCGTAACAAGTATTTTTAAAAGAACATTTCTTAGAATTGAATATTTTCAAAATTTTAAATTTAACCGCTAATAAAAAATGTTATATGCTTTGTATTTTCGATATTTTTGGAGATGAATTTGGTATTACATTTTTGAGCTGTTTTACTCAAAAACCAAAATTTAATCGTATATAATATGTATAGTCTAAATAGAAAACTATTTTAAAAAGTCAACAATTATAAATGCAAATAAATATCACAAAAAAAGATAACCAAAATATTTTGATAATTGCTATTATAAATATTTAGTGAAAAATTCAATTGTTCAGTTTTGACTTGCAACTAAAAGCAAAATCAATTTCGTTGAAATCTGGATTTGCGTAAAAATTCCTGTTTTCTCTAATCTTTATTTGTTTGTCCGTCCCGATTATATTGAAAAGTTCTAGAAGAGAATCTAAAAATGTATACTTTCACACTTTATTAAATATTATATTATATTATGATGCTATACCCAGTGGCGCATTTAGGGTGGGGCAAAGGGGGCAATTGCCCCCGGCGGCAAATTTATAGGGGCGGCAGTTTTTGTACCTATATATTTATTAAAAATTATAATAATATAAAATATATAATTTTGTAATTTGTTCTAAAGTAATGTTAGCCGCTAGGTACCTAACAAAATATGAAGCAATTTGAAAATAATATGTAATTTACATAAATCATTTACACATACGAAATTGATCGCTAAACAATTTCAGGTTTGTTAATTGTTATGTTATAAATTCAGACTGCCTATGGGCTATGAAAACATAAATCTATTATTATTATTTATTACGTTGGCAACAGTGACATAAATTATAAGATAAGTACATATTTTGTTATCTTAGATAGAATCAAAAATGAGCTAGAAAAAAGAAAAATAGCCTATAGGCTATGATCAGTTATTTGAAAAATACTCGTTTTTCTTTCAATTGGAAAAATTGAACAGCGTAGAAATCAGAGAACAGGCAAAATGTCTTCAAGATATATATGCAGATGATTTAGGAAGTTCTTTTCCCAATGAATGTGTTCACTTTAAGTCACATATAAAGAACCTCAAAGTTGATGAAAGACCTAAAAATATTCAGCAAATGCTTATATTTATCAAAAATAATGATTTTTCTGAAATGTATCCTTACATTGTTATTGCGTTAAGAATGTTATTATGTACACCATGTAGTAACTGTTCCACTGAACGGTCTTTTTCAGCTTTAAAAAGAGTAAAATCATACCTAAGATCAAATATAAAAGAGGAAAGATTAAATGCGTTGGCAATCCTAAATATTGAAAACGACATTACAACAAAACTAAATTATAATCATGTTATTAATAATTTTGCTACTAGACAAGCACGAAGAAGATTTTAAAAGCTGAAAAAGACCTTTTGGAGGAAAAGTTTTTACATAACCTCAATGTTTAAATGATGTTTAATAAATTTACATATACTATTTATTTTTATTTTTTTTGTATGGGGGGGGGGGGGTAGGGGCGGCAAAAATACGTTGCCCCGGGGCGCATATTTTCTAAATGCGCCACTGGCTATACCCTTAAAAATAGTGTAATTTCTTACAATTATCAATTATTAAAATATAAAAATAATAATAACATCATTTATTTTTATTTATATTATCATTATTAGTATTAAATATTAATACACCTATTGTACATTATTATTTATTACTAACGTTGAAGTACCTCTGCTGGGAGGTTTTTTCACTTTCTTTTTCATGTCATAATTTTATTTTATTTTTATCATTAAATAAGCTTATTGTTCAAACTTGTTACAAATAACCTGGGGTACTACAAATGTTGGGAAAAATAATAAGTTTTAGTATAATAATTATTACTTTTTAGAGTGGGTACTTCATAGCTAGTTCAAATTTGTAAAGTTTGAATTGATGTAATCGAATATTTTCAGTAGAGGAGAACAACATATAATACTATTATGTCCAATTAATTGTTGAATCGATGAGAATTTATGTAGACCAAATTATATCTACATCTCGAGAGCTGCTCCCGCGACTCTAATTTATATAAGCTCGAGCTCGGCAACTGACTACCTGCAGACTATTGAGATAAGGAGCGATAATTGGAATTTGGCATACTGGATGTGCCTTCATGCTGGTGTTCGGTAGAGGTAAATAATATAAATAATAATAATAACTTGAGTGGTTGGTATGTATTTTATCATATTTTTCTGTACCTATATATCAATGGGCTCTTGTAAATTGCGCCCACATTAAGCCGGTAGTAAAAATACTATAGTAATCTGCGCCAGGGATTTTTTAGTTTCTAAAATAGGTATAGTAAATTGCGCCCACAGTATCTAACTGTCTAAGTGGCCTTCAATTCATCGTTAGCTATTATGTGTATTTTAAAAATACTGTTGTTCATCTATTGGTGGATAAGCCGAAAGTTTATCGCTATAATCGTTATTCTTGATGATATTAGCGATATCAATGCCTTTACGCGTATACAACGACTTTACGTATACAGGTAATAATTTAGTAAGCCGTTTGAATGCAACAGTGAAACATGGATATTATACATACTGGTCACTGGATTTAAGCAGAAAGCAATTAATGATGTTATAATAATCTACCCAACTTATAAATTTTCAAAATTAAAACGTGAGTTGTCTTTGGGTGAAATAAAGTAGCGATGTAGTGTAAAAACGTGTATTCAGTCGCTAAATAAAAATAATATTTCTATTGAGCGCAATTTACTACACAGAAATTTGTTCCTGAAAAACACAGGGCCCAGTTTACTGCATGTAAATTAACCAATTTAGTTTCCTTGACATTTTTAATTATTTAGATTTTATAAATTATATAAATATAATCAGTGGCGTCTGCAGGGGGGGGGGGGGGGCTAAAGGGCTGACCCCCCCATTGCCCGTATTATTGTTACTTTTTCAAAAAAATATTAATCAAGTTAAACTGTCAACTATAGTAAGCAAGAAGTAAAATGCATATATGTCTTACCAGAATGAATTAATTTTTGAAAGAACATTGACTTTGCATACCAATTTTCATAAATTATCTGTAATTTTTCGGTAAAAGTATGAACTACTTGTATGAAAGACCTTATATTAAATTGTCTATCCTTAGATATATACATATTATATATTTTATAAGTTTTTAACTACAATTAACCGTGGTTTTGACAAAATTTGAACTTATTAAATGCTTATAAAAAATAACCATGATGCCTATGTATTGTTAATATTTTAGCTATAATAAAAAAACTTACGTATTACATTTTTAAGCTTTTTGACAGGATAAATAATTTCTTATTGACATTTATAGAAAAAAAATTTTAATTTATCAAATACAATCCAAGTTAAGACGGTATAACCAAGCTTGTTACCAAACAATTTAAATAAATTTTCATTTTTTTTCTCCAATTATTTTTAATTAAAAGCACTAAGAATTTTCAATTTCGATCTCCTAAAAGTACCAACTAGATCGTATTTGCTTCCAAAAACATACACTGGGCATCGAAGCTTATGATCAGAGCATTTTTTCTACCAGAAAAGTTGAAAAGTTACAAACATTTTAAAATACCTCAAATAAACGTCTGAAATTATTAGACTGGACAAAATAAAAATGTAACTAATTTTCAAGCCCCCCCCCCCCCATTGAAAAACTGAATATAATCATTATTATTTCTTATTTTCCAATGACAGCGTAGGTACCTGATATGATTATAGCGATGGTCGATGATTATTTGTCAATTATATTTTAACTTAATATAACTATTTGTTATTTTAGTATCAGTAGTGGTACGACAGTCGTACGCCATACCTACTTTTGTAATAGCGGGATTCACTTCCTATTGATTTGTTGAATAAATAATGTGGTAAAATGGTAAATGTTGCATTATTTTATTTACAATTTAAATGCAATATTATGTACCTACTTAATCTAGGAAGGTACCTACTACCTACTACCTATAAAGTATAAATCATTGCACGTTTGTAGTTTATATCTAGAAAACGACTTTGAAACCTCAACAGTTTTAAAATTCTGTCTCGCCTTCGTTGCTCGCCTCTTTTACCATATCTATACATAATGTATTATTTTAAGGTATATAGTATAGTATATTCATTATTCAATGCTACATGTGATTGGTTATCTAAAACTGATGAAATATCGGGTTAGGTTTTTTGTTTGAACTTTCAACTCGCCAATATGCCTAATCGTTGTACCGTATTGCATGCGGTTATGTACTTATATATTATTACATAAACATACGCGTTTAAAACTTTAAACAATAAACAGTTTAGACCTATATAGTGAAATGGAGTTATACAGCATAGATATAGGTCCCACCTGGTCCAGGGACTAACATTTTTAGAAAAATATCCACATATAGGTATATACTGGGTGATTCTTTTATCAAACAACACTCATTATTTCAAAAAGTGTAAATTTTTTTGAAGATATTTTTTTACATAGTTTCAAGTCGCTTATAAAACAACGTTTTTATTAAAAAAATATTTTTTTAACTATTTTTTATCCTTATAATTTTTTAAGTTTTTTACTTTTTTGAATGACAACATAGAGTTTTAATTTTATATTCTAAAGTAGAATATTTTTCTTAGTATTTTGATACATGAAAATTGAATTTGGGGCGAGTAGTTTATGAGTTATAAGTATTTAAAGTTTAGACGAGCGGTGAAGTGGACAAACATTTCGCGGGGTAACCCCGAACCACTCCACTCCGCTCGTCTAAACTTTAAATACTTATAACTCATAAACTACTCGCCCCAAATTAAATTTTCATGTATCAAAATACTAAGAAAAATATTCTACTTTAGAATATAAAATTAAAACTCTATGTTGTCATTCAAAAAAGTAAAAAACTTAAAAAATTATAAGGATAAAAAATAATTTAAAATATAATTTTTTAATAAAAACGTTGTTTTATAAGCGACTTGAAACTATGTAAAAAAATATCTTCAAAATAATTTACACTTTTTGAAATAATGAGTGTTGTTTGATAAAAGAATCACCCGGTATATACTCATTAATAGCAAGGGAGAGAAAGACAGAGACAGAGTGATAGAGACTATTGTTATAACCACCGTGGCATCGTTACATATAATCTCTTTGTGGCCTAAAATTGTCTGAGCAAATGATAACCATCATTTTTCTCTCCTTTGTGTTGGCATAAAAGTATGTAATATGTTTGGTGAAAAAAGGAATGTCATTCACTCATATTAAGAATATACTTAATACCAATGACGTTAGCACTATAGGCAACCTTCGGCAGGGTATGACACGCTGTCCATGTATCAATATATCTTTGGTATTGGTAGTTTAAACGGGGACCCTTTAAGCGGGGAGGGGGCGGCGACCTTATATCGGGCTCTTATATTATTATTATGGCCACGCAGCTTAAAGTTTTCGCTCATTCATCGCAGAGGGCGCCCGCGTTACTAAGGGACGGTGCGGTGGTGTCGAGCAGGCGCGCTCGACAACGATTTTCCACGCTCGTGGACGGGGAGACGGCGGTGCAAGCCAACGAACACACAAACACACAAACACATATACACACATAAACGCACGCAAGCAAAAGTACGCAACACACCACTGCGACATCCCTCCCAACTTTAGCGCTAGTGCGTCCACCTACATTGTATTATACCTCCGCCGCAATATCCGGCGTTGGCGCGGTGCTCGTTGTGCGTCCGCGGTCCGCTGCAGATTTGACGCCGCTCGTTCTGGCGAACATGCTGCTACTGCAGCGAACGGGAGAATAATCGAATATCGTACTGCTGAAGTGTATAGAGTGGTCCCGACCAGAGACCGCGATATCGCCCTCTTAAAACTGTCTCATAATCGGCGAATGGCGCCCAGGGACAACCAGGAGCTGGTGCCGCTTACCGACGGCAGCGGTCGCCCGAACGATGACGACGAACTGGAGGGCCAACGGCCGCAGAAGAGATCGGCCGCTACGTGTCTAGACGACAACGGCGGCGGCGGGGGAGGCGGCAAAGGACAGCTACAGACGGCGACGAACGACATGAAGACGTCCATGCTCGCCTGTCAGCAGGTCATTGGACTTGGCACTCTCTGGAGATTTCCCTACGTGTGCCTCAAGTACGGTGGTGGTAAGTTTTTGTCTTTGGTCTTATAACATATATATTCCTATATATATATAATGTGAATTACAATGGTACAATCGTATTAGGTAACTACCGGCCCAGGGGACTCAATACCCCCTTGGGTTATCTCATTAGTCGTTATATAATATACACACACACACACACTATACACAATGAGTGATGAGCATATTTTTTTGATGGCATATTTTAGAATCATAGCTGGTACCTATTGCAGATTGAAATATCGTAAAAAATCATCAAACACAGATAATATTTATATCTGTAAGTTTGCTTCAATTCACTCAAATATTACATTTCACAAAATTGGTTCTGCTGAACTCATAGGCGAAAATTGGGGGGGGCTTGGGGGTCCTCAAACTTAGGCGTAGTCCCCCCCAAAAACCTAGGACATACAATTTTAATACGCTATATTGCAATGGTCTGCTTGCCTTTAATATATTCAGCCCCCCCCCCACAAGCTAAAAGTTGAAATTGCGCCTATGGCTGAACTCAATTTGCAGGTATCGTATGTAAGTTTTTAAGACGGAAACTACAAATGCATATGTGAAGTACATTAATTAATGATAAAATATTTAAGGAACATATTACATACCTATAGGTATAATATAGGTTTAAGCATGTATGTACATTTTACATGACGTAAGCACCTACTTATTCGTGAACATGTATACATTCGATAATATTTTTGTTACGTGATAACTGATAAAAATAAAAATAGTATCTATACATAAAGTTGATTGCTCTGAGTTTGGAAATTAATTTAAATCGTAAAATGTTGTGGATTTAACTAACTGACATCGGATCATCGATTTAAACAACTTGGTTAAGTTACACTAATATAGATACCTACCTAAACTTGATTTTTAATTAATGTCACTTACCCACTTGTTAGTTTATAAACGAAATACCTAATACATAAAAAAAAGTTTTTATTTTGTTTGTATATAGCTTACAAAAATATAAGATGTACTTATGACATTGAAATAGTAATTTATTAGTTTTATTAAAGTAAAATATAACTTAAATTGTCAATTTTAAAACTAAAACTTAAATTATTTAATAGGTTTATTAACTATTTTATTTTTGAGATTCGATTACGTAGTATAGGTACAAACAATAAATTTATGTTTCTTGATTGTTCAGTCTTCAGTGTTATAATATATGTAGTATACTAGTATGTTATTAGTTCAATAAGTTATTGGTCATAATATTATAGAGGTGGATGATTCGGGCACCATATATTCTTGTTTAACCATAAGTCTATGCAAGCCTTATGGTATACACATAAGCACTTTAGTCGAGCTATCCTCTGTCCACATTCCATACTGTCCAGACATATTGCACATTCATCACTTCTATTCATATTTACCACGTCTTCGTTATACATCTTGGCCCGTAATTCGGAAATTCTTGAACATTGTTCTACATGCCTACAAGAATTCATAATATTTATTTACTAGTAGTTACACATAAATAATTTATGACAAATCAAAACAAAGGTTGTTAAATTACCATGTTGTATATACATTTTTATATGATTAAAGTTATAAACCTTAAAAGCATATATGAAGATTGAGAAATTCATGCTAAAAAAATTATAAAATATTAGATATTTTATATAATATGCAGCTACAACTGTGCTAAATATATAATAATATATAATATTATCAAATACCTATAAAAAGCTAAATGTTATGTTATGTGAATTAAAAATTCCGTAAGTACAGTATATTATATGTAGTTATAGTGGCATATTTAGGATTTTTCATGGAGGGGAAGGGAAGGTTCACATAATATTCCCAACACAAACAAAGATGTGGGTTACTTTTACAATAATTGTTGTTATCCCGTAAAAAAATTAACATAATTATGGGCCAAGGTGGGACACTCTGGACCCCTTGGACCCCCCCACCACTCGTAAATACGCCACTGATAAGGTACTTTACACAGACTGATGTTGGCACTCGTTTAAGTTAGGTTATAGTGGTGTGTTTACTACAATTAATATAAAAGTACCTAATCATTTCATATGAAAAATAATGTTGAGTTATAGGCCTATACATAATAATATACTATAATTAAAATGTGTGTAACACTTAAGGTAAAACTAAAAGACAATTTCAAACTTGTTAAATTCAATTTTTATAACTCCAATATTACACTGAAATGTCAAATTTTGTTCTTGTAAAAAGGTAATTGACAAATATGTTGAGGCTTAGGGATTATTGTTTTTAACTTACAGCAAAATAACTACTACCTATAATAGTCAATTTCGTTCACTATAAAAGCGTATTATAGTATATACACATTATATCAAGTTTCCATACTTTATAGTTTTTAATTACTATGAGACTAGGGATATAAATAACTATTAACTTACTAAAATAATAACATAATAAATTCTAGTAATTCGCGCCCCGTCATAATTTTCATTGTCACCGTGGTATAGCACTAACATAGTAGATTAAAAAAAAAGTAATTAATATTTGTTTGCTTGGGACTATATGATCAAGGATGGTATCATCGACTTTAATACATTGTTAAATTGATATAAATAATTAATTAAATGTTCTACTTATATATTATTTTTAATAAATCGTGTCCATTCGTTATTCATTGCATACTTATATATAACTTTATACTATAACTAATTAGTATAAATGGTATAATTATCATACAATATTTTAAACATATTATACAATAATGTCAAATAATGCCTACAGTTATTTACAATTTACATACCTATACTTTATATGGGTTGTAATACCTAATAATTATTATTTACTAGTTTTTTAGATATTATCAAAATTATGTAGGTACACTGTTTTAAGTTTTTTATTTCTCTCATACCTACAGTTTTCGCATGATACATCAAAATTTAATTTGAATTTAACACGCAAGACTTCATTGATTTTTAAGTATCTAGTACCTACCATCTATAGGTTAAAGTGGTTCATAGTTTATGTATTCTACATATTTATAAACAAAATAGTATTTATTATAATTATATTTTACTAACAAGAATTTATTTAAATACCTACCTAATTTATGTTTTATATTATGTAGAATATCATAAAATATGTGCTAAAATGTATATCATGGGTAATCGTGTTAACTCTTAATTATTTTAGACACTGATACCTACATAGCATTATTTATTCAAAATATTATATAAGTTTACCACATAAAATTGTTTGTATTTGGTTTCAAAATAATTCCATGTATTATATTATAATGTATAACTTAAAAATTACCTATAGGTACATTATAATATTATATAACTAACATATAACTAACATATAACTAGTAACTACTAGCTGAACCCGTGCACTTCGTTGCCCATTAAGTGTACCAACTCTATATGACTCAGACTTTGTTCAATTCGTTATTTAATATTCGGTGCATGGTTTCAAAATTAATCTTATTCTAACAAAATAGTCTAACAAAATAGTATTTATTATAATTATATTTTACTAACAAGAATTTATTTAAATACCTACCTAATTTATGTTTTATATTATGTAGAATATCATAAAATATGTGCTAAAATGTATATCATGGGTAATCGTGTTAACTCTTAATTATTTTAGACACTGATACCTACATAGCATTATTTATTCAAAATATTATATAAGTTTACCACATAAAATTGTTTGTATTTGGTTTCAAAATAATTCCATGTATTATATTATAATGTATAACTTAAAAATTACCTATAGGTACATTATAATATTATATAACTAACATATAACTAACATATAACTAGTAACTACTAGCTGAACCCGTGCACTTCGTTGCCCATTAAGTGTACCAACTCTATATGACTCAGACTTTGTTCAATTCGTTATTTAATATTCGGTGCATGGTTTCAAAATTAATCTTAACTTTTCCGTTACCTAGAATAAAAATTCTGATTCGCTACAGTACATAATTATAAGGCAGGCAATCTACCTGCGGTTATAAGTTGTGTTATGCGGTAAGTTATACCAGGTTTGTTGTTTTTATTTAATTCTACCTATGGTGGATTAATATAATCAATTAATACAAAATCCCTAACCTAACCTAACCGTACTAAAATTAGATGAATAAAAAAAAACCTAATTTAACCATGTTTAAATTAGCCAATCTTCTTCCCAGAGGTCTAATCTACACACAAACATTCAATTATATGTAATACTGACAAAAAGTAATAATACAAATCAACAAACATGTCCGATTAACCATTAGCAACCAAAATATAATACACTATTATTATTATTTTTTTTGGCCATGTCTCCAGGTGTGCACATAACTGAGGCCATAACTCCGGAACCACTTATCGCACAGCTTAAAAACTTCACAGAAACCATCTACATAACAATCTTAATATGCCCTGAAATCGGAAATCGGTTTGGTGGATCTTGAGTTATAAAATTTATTCAAAATGTACACTTATTTTTATGTATATAGATTAGTTAAATATAATATATATCAATATATATTGATATGAAGAACATTTTTGAATTCAAATCATTCAATTTATAATTAAAATCACAAAACTCATGTATAGTTAATTTTCTATTAAATTATTAAATGGCCATGGTAATAAAAATTAAAAATATATGTATTTTTGAAATTTTTTAATTGATATAATATTATGAACAATTTAAGAGAAACCTTATGACTGAGCAACATTTTTTTTAATTGACGTGATTAGAAAAATAAAACCTAAATAGGTATTTGAAAATGTCAAATGTCTATACACATAGCTCAAAAAGTTTCAAATTATTTTGAAATGTATAGTAAATGCTAATATAAAAATGTTGAAGTGGAGAGGAGCGGCGCAGTGGCTACAATCAATCACGCAACGTGGTTGAGACTTGAGAGATTTGAGAGTATAAGTAACGTCCGCTGCCACTAGTTCCTGGATGGGTGACCACTGGAGTTCGTAATGGCAAAAACCTTGCCACACAAACACGTGTTGCTAACCAACCGTACTAACCGTACCCTAGTGCCTACCATACCAACCCTACCAACCGTACATGTTAATGACCTCAGTAGTCAAAGTCTTAATATACGAATATTCGTTTATGAGTTTCACAAAAATAACAAACTAAAGTACTGGTTTTAAGTAAAAATTCCCATTTTTCTTAATATTTTAGACGGTTTCCCAGTTATTTAAAAATATACTAACAATTTTAACTGGATTCTCCATAGTACCAATTAGATCCAATTTTCTACCAGAAACCACCCTCAAAGTTGAACATCGAAGCATTTTTTTCCATTAGGAGATAAGGAGTGATGACACTATGACAGTCAGAAATAAATTACACATCATAGTAAAATCACTAAAACCAATGCATTCATCGCTCAGTTAAAATCTAAAACATCGAACGATTACTTCACTAAAATACTAATACGATTATATTTGAATATTTCCAATCTAAAGGCAGATGAGGTAGCTCATAGCGGAACTTTTGAAGTGCTTGTACTTTAATGATTCTAAAAAAAATAGAAGGAATGACATACTTTAAATTTCTAAGCCTATGATAGCTCACTTGTTATAGTGAAGTATTAAAATCTTCTTCTGGCATATTGGACAATATTCTTTTTGGCGCTTTTTACATTTTTTAAGTTTAGATATATACAACGACCATTGGTTATGTGAATTCTTGTTTCCCCTTTGGTTCATTTCAGTTTCATAAATTTTGTTTATTGTTTAAATGTTTTAAAAAACTAGTAACTATGAAAATAAGTTTGTAGGGTTATTGTTATGAAAAACCGTAAAACCGTATTATTGATAACCACATTGTAAATAAATATTGATAGGAAATATGAAATATTAAACAATAATTTGTTTTTACCTTATTAGTAATTTATTGTTATAATATTAAATCGTTTAAAAGCAACATAAAATTGTAGGTAAATATGTTTTTATAATAACATTAATTTTTAATTTCAGGTACATTTTTAATACCTTATATGATCATTATGTGCTTAGTGGGTTATCCATTACTTATTATGGAAATCGGAATCGGTCAAAAATTGAGACACAATAGCATAACAATATGGACAACAATTAATCCTCAATTAGGAGGTATTGGTATAGTAATGTGCTTAGTTAATATCGGTATGGCTTGCTACTACGGAACGATCATAAATTGGGGAACTAAATATATGATCGACATGAACAAGGTAATTATTATTATTATTATTATTATGAAATTATTGAATAACATTAATAATATGCATCTAAAAATATTTCGTTAGTTGTATTTTTTTTTGTGTATTAAGTACAATTTTAGATTAGGTAAAGTTAGGTAAGTACTTATAATTAGTTTTAAATTTGAACATAAAACAATATAACTCCATCGCCACTATTATAAAGGATTGTGGTATTTTTTTTTTTAATAAATATATTTTTTTTAACTTTTGTAGGTACCTACTTATTTCAAAATTATTTTATTTTAGTTTCCAGACTTGTGGCCTCCACATGGGCAACCATCTATTGATCCCAAAAGATCTCAGTCATTCTGGCACAAAACTGTATTAAACGTAACAAGTTCTATTGATGAAACTAGTGATATACAAACGGGCCAAGCGTTTTCATTGTTTTTCACATGGTTTTCTTTAGCTTTAATGTTGGCAGCAGCTTGGATTTCATGTAAAAACAAGTATATACAGGTATGTATTATTTTGACATAATAATAGCTGAGTACTCTAGAGTATATTTTTTATTTAACATAATAATTTTATTTATTTTAATTTTAGGCGTTCATTAATTATTCGAATTCAATGTTTCAAAGATTACCATTTTATATTCAAATTATGACATGCGCAATTCCACCATTTTTGTTAGTTGTTGTATACATTGTAGAATCAGGTTATGGATATATTAGCTTCTTGTATATCACGTCTGTAGAGGTAATTAAATTTTTCATTAAAATGATATATATAATATATATAGAAATTATTTTATATACCTGTAAGAAAATATAATATTTCCATTATTATTTTACAGTTAAAAGACTTGTTGGTTTTCCCGATCTGGGTTGACGCAGTTATCCAAGTATTCTGTTCATTGGGATTAGTGCATGGTCCGTGGACGTCTTTCGGTTCATCTTCTAAACGTAAAAGCAATTTTCTGTTGACTGCTACTGTGGTGGTATCTTTCAGTTTCATTTTAGTCTTTGTGTGGACTTGGTTTATAGTTTCCACAATAATACCAAATGTTTTACAAGACATTAAAAATTGCGTAATCGGGTATAATTAAACTACACGACGATAACAACTTATATGGGGGTGATTTGAAAACAAAACATGTTTATTTATATTCATAATATTTTTTAATTGCTTCGATTTCAAATCACCCAAGTTTCAAATTTCTATAGCAATATAAAAACATTACGTTATTTTTGTTATTCATCATTTTTAGATCAGCTTATAAATGGGATAATTCTAAAGACATGCCTGCACACGTGTTTTACAGCAATAATTATGATGCGCTAATTGCTAGTCGAAAATTAGACGACACTCTAATGAGTTTTGATGTACAAGAATGTAACATGGAAAATCAATTCAAATTGGTAATATATTTAAAATATACTTATTATTGTTTAATGTAAAAAAATTCATTATTTGTATTTTTTAAAACCATTTACTATAGTTGAATTAATGTTATTGTATAACTATAACTTTTACCGATCAGTACAAAATTGCTGGTATTCTTTTAATCAATATATTTTGATGAATACCTACGTTTCATGATATTCTGAAAAAAATGTAATATGTATGATAGTTTAATTTTATATATTCATAAAAATATTCAAATATTTCAAAGTAATTGGATGACAAGTATTATTAATGTAAATCATACAAGATAAGCATTTGCTTTAAAAGAAAGTAATTATCACCTATGTGAGTTTTTCCATAATTTAAAGAAATTCGTGATTTTATAGTGTAATACTACAGTGTAATACTACAAATACAATTTCAAAAATATTAACCTTTTACCCATATATTTTGAGGTTTTGTGAATTAAGATGTGATTTATGAATATATAGCATATAGGTATAAGTTTTTACTAAAATTAAATCCATTCTAAATTCCAATAAGTTATAATACTCGTATATAAATATTATTGCTGTTTTATACTATTTATTTTACACGAAGGAAAGTAAATGAGTTATGTTAGAATATCTTAATAAATTACAATACTTGTAAAATTTATCCTTGGCTGTATTTTTTTTAAATATATTACAGGCAAGCAATGGTGTTGGCCTGATGTTTATAGCACTCGGAGAGTTTACTACAACTTTTTCATTTGAAAAAATTACTGGCTTTAATCAAACCAAATTTGTCATTAACATTCCGCAAATACTAGTTCTAACAATTGGTACAGCATGGTTGATACGTGTATTGAGCTGGTTTGTCTGGGCACTTACTGAAGTTAAATGTTTAAAAAAATTGTCTACATTTTGTATTTCAAGTACGTTTTATTTTTATTTTGTATAGATAAACAGATACTATACTATATTATACTTTTACCATTGGTAAATATAAATCCTTTATCGTATATATAATGTTTATATATTATATATTGTATTAATATATTATGTACTCCAAAAACTAGTAGATGTAACCTTTTTAATTTCGATGAATTATTATGTAACCATAACTCATAATAGGGTTGTATACGGTATGCCTATCTGTTATTTAAATTAATGATTGATATACGATAAGATTATATTACACCGGTAGTAATAAGATGAATAAAATATATAAATTTAAAATATTAATTATAGGCATACTTTGTACAATATGTTGTATCTGTGGATTGGTATTTACAACTAGAACGGGTGTATATTGGCTGTCATTATACACTGAAGTTTTTATTAATCCGTGTTTGACGGTGTTAGCTCTATGCGAGGTTCTAATTATTGTTTTCATATATGGATATAAACAGTATGTATTATCTAATAATGTATACATTAATATTTTAGTCCTCATGAATTAATAATAATATATTATTAATAATTTTATTGTCAGATTCTTACTTGATATATATGATATGACTGGACATACAATTGGTCGTCTTTCTATATTCATCTGGAGACATGTTACTCCGATGTTGCTGATATTAACATTCTCGTCTATCTTGACGGTCGGTATTTTGGATGGCTTCAGATATGAAGTCTGGACACATAGGAGTGTAAGTACAAAATATTCAAATTACTATAATATATCCTGGTGGCTGGTATATCGGGTTACCTATCCCATATATTTTTTAGATAAATTTGAATTGTTGGAAAAAAAGTTGTTAATTCGTATTTACAATTTGTAAGTAAATAAATAGTTATTTCAAGACCTTTGAATGTTGATAAATAAAAATTCATGTAATCATATACCTACTTACTTAATAATAATTTACCTATTGAACAATTACAAATATTTATTTATATTATAAAATATAAATATGTATAAACCGATACATCATCGGACAATAGCATTATGCTGTATCGCCTTACACAATAGACTAATATAGAGATTAATATTAACTTAAAATAATAGGACTCAATCGGTCGAGGCGGCTACCACGCATAATTATTATTATAATACTTATGTCCGTATGCATGGTCTATTTATGACATAGTTTATTAGTTTAATTATGTCTTGTGTGACACATAAATTGACAATGCATACGGGCATTACTGGCATTGAAATACTAGTATTATCAATATTAGTACGCAATAGGCATATTGATAGTGGTCCGTTTAACTCAAGACACTAATTATTTCAAAAACTATTAACGTATTTCAAAATATTTTACATAATTTATATAAAACAAACTAATTTCTAAAAAATTTTAAATTTTAATATTTTTTTATCGTAATCATTTTTAATTTTTTTCTAACATAACATGTGTTATGTTTTTCATGAAAACATGCATTTTTAATTCCTTATTCCAAAGCAGAATGTTTTTTGGAGTATTACAATGGAGTATACTTGGGTACTTATTACTATTTACACCTCAAAATGTTGGTTCTATACTTCGCTCATGGTGGCCCATCTACTCGTTCAATACTTATAACTATAAGTAATAACTATACAACTATAATACTTATCCGAAATATTACTTTTATAGAGCAAAATACTCCGAATAATATTTTGCTTCGGAATATATAAATAAAAAATGCAGGCATATTGTCATTCAAAAGAGTAAAAACTTAAAAAATGATTTTTATAATGAAAATTTAAAGTATTTACGGTTATTTATTCATGAATGACATAAAAAATCAAAAGTGATTTTGAGTTAAATTTCCTTAATTTTGTTTTTGTTTTTCATAAAGTACCACCAATTTGTTCCAATTTACTATCAGAAACCATCCTCAAAGTTGAAGATCAAATCATATTTTTCATCTATAAAACGTGTACACATATTAATAATATGACATACAGTAACGCAAAGAAAACAAAAAACATCTTGGTAAAATCACTATACATTCGTCCCTCATCAGTCATCACTCAGAATCTAAAATCCAGATATGTTAATGGATATATTCAATGTTATATAATCCATGGAGATATTTGGTAGTATAAGATATACCAGATACCTACGAGTTATTGTAGCAAAGTTCATGAGTCACTGGTTCTTATATATATGTTGCAATGTGTCAATAGTTTATATTGAGCACCGCCTATTATACTTAAGTATAACGTTGTACGTGGGCATTACTTTGAGGTTAAGATCATTAATTTGAATGGCTTGATAGATACGAATTGGTCATTTACGCTATTGGTAGGCAGTGAGTAATTTTAATTGGGCTGCTAAATAATAGATGTACATGTTTATTTGATGTGTTTGTTCAAGCGAATTCCAGCTTTGAGGGAACCTTTAAATAAACCACATATTTAATCTGAAACTAATGAATAGTATTATAGTATAGCATAATATATATTGTATTGATCGTTTAAATTCGCCACTGATGTTGAAGATTGTTCGTTCACAGGAATATCTTAATGTTTAATTAAATTGATTTGTTTGACATATCGATATTTTCAAAAAGTTTTAATTATAAAATAAGTTTCAAAGTTCATAAATATAAAATTAATGAAGGTGGTTCAAAAAATGTTCAATAGCGACTATATGTAAAAATGAGAAAATATCATAAATCATTATAAAATACTAATAGGTACATGACATTTTTAATTTTATCCAATACATATTAGTATGTTGAACATTTTTACTTTACATTACATCATTATATAAAGTATAAATTATGTAATGTAAATCACGCATTTCATGTTGGTACCATTTTAAGATCGCATCATGGATATTAAATATTAATATATTATTTAACTTAAAAACAGTCGAGGGAGAAATATATATTATTAAAATGTCATCAATTAAGAATTGTGAAAGAAATTGAATAAAGTATACAGATATCAGGTATGTAAGTATGTAACACTAAGCTTTTAAAAAAATGTAGATACTTCCAAGGTATTGACTTATTTACATTAAAATTATATAGTTCACCGCAAAATCAATCAAATATATATTTTCCTATGTAGGTTTTAGGTACAATCATTGATTAAATATACAATATCAATACCTAGTACAATATAAATTTAAAAGTTTATATAAAACTAGCTGATCCCGTGCACTTCGTTGCCCGTTAAATGTATCAACTCTATATGACTCCAACTTTGTTCAATTCGTTATTTAAAATTGGGTGTATGGTGTTCAAAACTCATCTTAACTTTTTCGTTGACCGGAATAAAAATTCTGAATCGCAGAAGTACATTATCAGGTAGGCAATCTACCTGCGGTAGATCGCGGACCCCGTGCTGTTTGTACGTATGTGTATGATTTAACTCTAAAGCATTGGCCCCCTGCTCTAAAGTATCAAAGTTATACCAAGTTTGTCGTTTTCACTTAATTCCACCTACGATGGATGAATATAATCAATGAATACAAAATCCTAACCTAACCGTACTAAAATCCGATGATTAAAAAAAACAATTTTAACCCTTTTGGGTGTAATTCGCTCTGCATAGGTATGGAAGCAAAATCATATTAAATTTTAATTTTTAGTCATCCCGCGTGAGTTTCTCATATGGTAATGCGAACAGTATATTATCAGGTAGGCAATCTACCTGTGGTAGATGGCGGACCCATTGAGGAGGGAGATAAAATATATAGGCAGCCTATATTAGTACAGCTTTGTAGTTGAAAAAAATTTGTATACAGTGTACCTAAAATAGTATTGAAGTCATAGTTGATCTGGTTGATCATCCCACATTTTTAGGAGTATTTAATATTTATATATTAATATATTTTTGGCTTCATGCCGACTTGCAAGGTAAAAGATACAACACACTGTTCTCTAGGCATTTTGGACTATGGACAGAGTGTTGAATTTAACTTCAAATGCACGATCCACATAATTTACATAATTTATTTTAGCTTAAATGAAATTAACTGAGCAGAGAATAATGACTATCTGTCAAACACTTTATCACGCACCGTTGCTATTGGTTTTAAGTACATGCTATGTATAATAGATGGCGCTGTATGTGAAAAACGATTTCCCCACTTTTCTGTTGAATTTTTCCTGAATTTTCCAGAATTTTCTTTGCTATAAACCTCACGGAGCCCAAGACCTTTCCAACGAATGCAAAACCGTGGAAATCGGTTCGTGCGTTCTCGAGTTATAGCGTCAGGGAGGAAAACCGGACTTATTTTTATATAATAGATAAAACTTATCGAATATTTCAGAATTTCTTAACAAAGATGAGGTATCCATACTGGGCTCAACTAATAGTTTGGGCGAATACAGCTGTATGTCTTCTACTAATATTGGCATTCTGCATAGTGGATAGTCGACAAAACCTGACTTTCAAATTTTTAGAAACCCTGAATAAAGCAAAAAAAACTACTACTGGACATATGAAGCGATCAGACTCGGGGTTGTCTGGAAAAGGCATTATCACTGAAATTGATGTAAGTTTAACGTGTAATAAATAAATATTATAATATTCATTAAGGTTTTAAATAGGTTAAACATTAAATATATTTTTTTTATGAAACTTTTTTTTTACAAAATTTCAAAAACTATTTTGGGGAATTAAGTATAGTAATATATTATTTATATATATTTATAAAGCAGATTAAATTAGATTAACTAGAAATCTGTCATTAAAAAAGTTGAAACATTAAACTTATATATCTATACGTTAATTCTTAAATTATGAATGAATATAATGGGTATTGGGTATATTATAATGAAGCAGATATAGAAATATTGAATATACATATACCTATCCCGATTCCTGAGCCAAATGTGTTAAGTACCTATTTATTTTATTCCCAATATTTTAACTGTGTATTGGAACATAAAAATGATTTCATGCTATATACACATTTAAATATTTTGTATTTACATTTTTTTTTAGTTTGACGATTGTCACGATTCAGAGAATGATGAGGAGCTGGATACTTCACTAGCCCAAGCTCCAGTACGTATGTATAAAATTGAGGTTCTCGACTCTTGGAAATCTGCAAGAGGTCAAGTTTACCTTTAATACTGGACTTTATACGCGTCATGAAGTTATACTTATGTTATAATATATTGTAACTTATGTGTATAGTTAAAATGTATACCATGATTATAATATTATGTATCGATGTGATTTAAACTATAAATTTATACAAATAGCTATAAATTTAGTTTCAAAGTAAATGTTTTTATGCATTGGTATACTATCTATAAATAGTATAGGTATCTATCCTATATACATTTAGTGAATTCAATATCAATATCATTTGTTTTCCAAATTTACTTAAAGAGCTGTTCACGGTTAATATAATAATATAATACAATTTAATATTATATATAATAATATAGGAACGCCGAACACCACGTGCAATTTCAATTAAAACAGTAGGATAAAGATCAAGTGTTAAGACCAAATCATTATAGCAGTAGTTCTATGAAATGAATATTTGTGACTGTGACTACTTTTATGTATATGTATACTGACATTTTTAAACAAACGTATTAGTATTATATATTGAAGTACCCGTGACCTTCCAACTATTAGCAAAGATAGACCAATGTTCGTGCAAAAGCAAATATATTGCTCACCTAAATCTACCATTTACTGTTATACAATTGGTACGTTCTAATTTCTTCAAAATAAGAAAATCATAAGTGTTGTGAATAATTAATTAATTAAAAGAAATATAATATGGATTTAAAATGTACTTAACTGTAATAACATGAAATTCTTATTCGTCATAATATGGGTGCCAGTTAAAATCGCGAAAAAACAATATACCTAATAATAATAATAATAATAATATATAATAATATATTATACGTATTTACGAACAATTCCATATATCCCTAAGTAATCTATTTTGTATACAACTTAAAACATTATTATTCAAAATAAGACATTTTCATGTACCTACATTTTAAGATTAAATTTGATTATGCAAAGATCGCACTATAGATTATAATAAATATACTGATCACATAGTTAAATTTTACTATGAATAGCATGTTTACATTGTTAAATCCACACTGAAGTCTCCAATTTCCGTTGTCAAAATAAGAAAAGTAATATAATACATTTATATTAATAATAAACAGTGCTCAATACATTAGGTTTTAAAATTTGATCAATTCATAAGCTTGAATTTATTAGTATACAATCTTCATTAATTGGGGCTTAGTAATAAAATTCATTATTAAAAATTGTTGTGTTGTATTACTCGATATAATTTGTTCCTAGCTCAAACGCATAATTTATGCTACCTAATAAGATATGAAATATATTTATTTATTTTTACTTGTGTGTAATTTAATGTGAAAAACCTAACGGTGCCCATATAACTTTAATACTTTTTTAAATATTGTACACATATCACATTATAATATCACATATTATTCAAAATTTTAAACATATTATAATAACTTACACTATAGTTATAAAATATCGAGAATGTTGTTTGGTATTATATTATTCTCCTAATATTAACATAATTAAATCTACGCCGTCCATTGGCTATAATAATTAAAGTATTAAACAGTAAGAAGTTATTTTATACATTCCATTTACCTACTGACTGTTTTTCGATTGTAACTTTTTTTTATGTATACCTATTGAACTAAAACTTATTTTGTCTTACAGTGAAATAGTCACATCATATAGATTGTTTAGAATTTACTCAATCAAAAATGTTTGTTTCTTGGTACCTATATATTTATTTAATACAAAAAAATTCTAAATTCTATTAAAAATTTAGAAACCTATATTTATATGAAGTTAATAATTTTAAGTTTGGAGTAAATATTATATATTGTGTTAATTTACCATATTATAATAAAGTTATTAACATGCAAATCTAAATAATAAATTGTGTCATTAATTATTGCTTTATAATCTGTATATTATGTTATAAACTTATAACTATATATATTTACCTTATTACCTAATACCTATAGGCTATAACATAATATTATGCTATACTCAAATAAAAATTCTTCATGATTTATGAATATTGATTACCGTTACCCAAATATATTCAGATTAAAGAATTGGCATTAAAGAATTGTCAACAAGTCTTCAATATAGACAATAACTAATACGTAATTATAAACATCTTCAATACTTCAAATTGCATACCATAAAACATAATATTATGTATGAATAATATTAAAACACAGGTATGAGTATTGGATTTGAAAATTAATTTAATCCAATATAGGATATTATGCTATGTACAAAATTTAAAACCAACTTAATTTAATGGATATTTTGGCCATATAATACCTATAATAACTGGTAACATATTTTTTTTTTGGGGGGGGGGGGGTGGAGGCGAACCCTATTGTTTTGTGTAGCGGTCGTCACACATTGGAAATAAGGGTAGGAGAATATTCAAAGAAAAATATTTAATAACTTTTGGTGGTTGGGTAGGTAAAACTATATATTGCTATACCTGAAAAATAAGTCTTGGGTGCCACTGTTGGTAGGTACCAATTGTAAAATATGGTGGTAGATATTGTCATTTGTGATAAACAAATTCTAAGATATAATGTTTATTATTAAGTACCTATACCTATAGTTGTTGATGTATAAGTATCTAAGCACATACATTTATATAATATAATATATACTGATTACAGGCAACTGGTAAGTTATAAGTGGTCATAAAATTTAAAGTTGGTTTTCATATTAGATAAGAACGACTGCGTGAGTTAAATACCTATCTATGTAGGTATACAGGTACCTGCATTTAAAAACCAAACTGGTGTCTCGTATGCAAAATAATACAATATGATTCATATTTGAATTTATAATAGCTCGAATTTAAATGCTTTAAAAATATCAACAAAATGCCCCAAAAAATAAAAAATCCTTTAAAATTGCAAACAATTCTACAACATGGAGAGCTTGAAACTTTGAATTTATTTAGTATCTTGGAAAGCATCGTACAAGACAATCCAATAATAGATGCAATCCGTGATGTATTTGTATTATTTTTATTATTATTATTGTACCTACTACCTAATCCGAGCCATGAATAATCTTCGAAAACCCAGTATTTATCATTACAACAATTAAATTACAATATATTATATTTATATATAATATGAACTATTATTTTCACATTATTTATTGTTTATTAAGAATAGGTTACACAGTCGAGATTATGTTGATTCCGGACTCCGGTAGTATAATAGCATCAATTCTCGCAGAGGAGACTGTGTTTGGACAATACTCTCCTCTGTTGACATCGTTGGTTGCTGTATATAATTGATGAATGCATTTATACATGCAGTATACAAATATAAATATTAAGAAAAATATATACATATATGAAAGTAGATACCTACTAGCTATTGTTATAATACTATGGTAATATTGGTAATTGCAGTATGTAATATGTATTTTCTAAAATAGGTACATATATTTTAGGTTGGTATACAAATATACAATATACATATTTAAATATTTAATAAATTATGATAGGTTTATCAATTGTTTATTGATTTAAAAAAAGTATGTCTAAAGTTGTCGATTATAAATTAGTAAAAAATATTGTAGTACATGCCTAATAATAGTTTTTTTCAGATTTTCATACCTAAATATATTTTATTACTTATTAGTACATTATAATATGATTACAAAGTGATTCACCAAACTAACTAACCCTCATTTTTTCCATTCATAAATAAATAATTCAAACCCTGATTAAGGTAATTTTTAAGTATACCTACACATAAATATTTAAAGACCATATTTTAAAATAAATACACACATTTTAATGGAATTTAAGGACTGCCCTGTGGTATAACCAACTATTTTCTACCTCTTTTTTTTTTCAAATGACAACCATATCACAATCACACTTTTATATTCTGAACGGAGCGATAAATATATTGGTTTTAAAATTTTCATTAGATATTGTAAAAATAATTATTTCCTATTTGGAATTCTGGTCCGTGGTTTGAAAAAGAAAGAGAGAAATAAAAAAAAACTCAAAATATATATGATCTATTGAACCCCTACCTGATCCCCCGATATACGCCACTGAGCGATATTAACTTATTTTATAAACGTATTTGAATGTGTTAAAAATACATATCGTAACAAAAACATATCGTTCAGACAAAAAAAATGTGCGTGACAGTTATAGTGAGTGTATAGTAGTGTTATATTTGTTTTACTCTTTCAGACACACCAGAAACATAGAAAAAACGCTTTCAAATAAAACAGTTTTTTTATGATTTTTGAGTCATCTTAGAATAAAATCATCTATTATAAGAATGATGGAGAATAATGTTTTAAGGATGACATAGTCATCGGTTTTGTATTTCATTATTATTTTACTTAAAAAATGAATTATAAAAATGTGCACGTTTAAAATTGTAATGGATATCTAATTGTTTTGAAACAATATTTAAACAAAATTATATGTCAAACCCTCAAAAATATTATTTTCTATACATTTTTCAAAATCATTAATTTTAATCTAAGATTATAAAATAAAATATAAGAAAACGATTTTGCATGACTGCGTTTTGCGTGTCTATGCGTGTTGAACCACAGAGAGAAAACAAATAGTGGGCTGACTCCCCTTTAAGATATTTAGGAAATATTCTTAGTTTTTTATGTTTATTAAAGTTGAAATATGAAATATTAGTTATTCACTACCTATGCTAGTAATTAGTATGCTACTATTGTCTATTAAATTGTAAACAATATACCTAGTATTGTTTAGTTTTATTTTAAAGTTTTGTGAGTTGTAACAGTTTGTAAAAATATATCATATATAGAACTTACAGCGGTTTTATATAGGGGTATAACAATTAACAAAATAAGTATAGGTATCGAAATATATACCTATAGGCGGACAAACCGTCTCTGTCATGCAGAGTCGTTCTTCGTAGATATTGAATAATTTCTCATTGAATTACAATTTAACACATCTATACAGTTACATTTACTCATTGACACAAATAGATGGATTAGGGGGATTTAGATCCACTCAAAACTATATCAAATATTCA